CCGTGGCAAGCGCCGACGAGCTGTAGACTGGGAGACTCCAAGCAACGGCTCCAGGTCGTCAGCGAAGACGCGCTGTTGTTCATGGCGCGGCAGCCGTTAGTTGGACCGGCGTTTGTCTTGGACGCCATGCCGTCCGTGCCAGCGCCATCGTCGTCGTTGCTGGCAAACAAACTCAACGTGGTCGGCAAGTTGCTCCTCGAGTTTGGTGTGCACGACGGCGGCGGCGGCGGCGTGCTCGGCCTCAAGCATGTGCTCCAGCCCGCGCTCGCGGCATGCGAGCACAAAGACGCTGCCGTGCGCCAAGCGTCGATCCAGATCTTCTCGGAAGCGTTTAAAGTACGAACGTCGTGTGTTGCTCGCTTGTCGTGGCGCCACGTCATGACAACCCCACGCAGGTTGCTCGAAGCGCCACGATGCCGTTTCTGAGCGGACTCGCGCGCGGCGCCAAGCAAAAACTGATCGCAAAGCTCGTTGAGCTCGGCGTCCTCGAGAGCGATCTCCTCATGGACGAAGTCGATGACTTTGACAGCGTTCCACGGCCATCGACGTCCGGGCCACGTCCCCCGACTGCCAGTGGATCGTCGACCAAGCACCGCCCATCGCTCGCAAACGTGTCCGTGCTGGCGCCGCCTGCCACCGGTACGGTGTTGGCTACGACCCACGAGATCTAAACGGGTGGCTTGTATCTTGCAGCGACCGACTCGGCGCTTCCCTATGGAACTGTCCTCACAGACGACCAGCGGTCCGCCTACGCCCGCATGCTGACCGTCATGGGCGAGCCCATCGTCCGGTGTTTGGTCGACAAGACGTGGGCGCCACGGGAAGCTGCGGTCCGAGAAATCGAAAAGCAAGTTGTGTTGGCGGGTAGCGCCGCTTGCAACAACGGGCCGCCTCGATGGCCCACGGACGCGGCGACGTTGGTCGTGCTGTCGGAAGCTCTCGAGCTCGTGCTGCACGACACTGTCGCCCGCGTGTACCAGTGCGCGCTGCGCCTTCTCCAGGTAAGTTCTCCTCGCGGCGGCGATATCGTGAGCGACTCTACACGTCCTGCCGGCTGGACGCGACCATCTCTTGTGACGATGGGCGTTGTGTAGGTGATCGCGACGGACTTTGTGCCGTCCGTGCCGGGCCACGGCCACGTGCTCGACTCGATTTTGAAGCCAGCAGTGGAAGCGGTGATCCAAAAGCTCGGCGACTCCAAGCCGCGCGTGCGATCCGACTCGTTTGCGGTGCTGCATGCCGTCGCCACCCTCCCGCATGTTGGCCCGGCCGCGGTCGCTGCGATTGTGATGGATCAATTCGACGCGACGGACGCACCGGTTGCCAAGACCGAGATGCTCATGCTGCTCACGTCGCTCCTGCGGGAATCGAAACCCACCAAAGGCACCGATAGCGACGGCAAGGGACGAGTGGCGCCGCCGAGCGTCGACCACAAGACCGGTGGCGCCGCCGTCCACCTCGCCACCGTCCTCGACACCATTGTCCCCGCGCTCGACAACAAGCACGTTGACATTCGCAATGCCGCGGTCGCGGCGTACACGGCGCTCTACGAAGTTGTCAAGGCGACCCCGACCAGCACCTTGGACCTTGAACGGTGCGTCGCGCATGTCAAGCCCGCGGTGAGGGAAGCCATCTCAAAGAACATCGTGCAGCTGGCCAACTCGAGCGCGGCGATGCCTCCGCCGCTGACCCTTGAAGACAACAACGACGCGTCGCCCGAAGTCGAGAGCGCGCGGAGCGAGTCCCACGACCTGGAAAAGGTGGCGGCCGTGTTCGGGGCCGAGATGGCCGCTCGGTTGGCGCACCCGGCGAAGCGGCGCCACGGTCTCGTCCAGCTCATTGGAAAACTTGCGGAGACCGCACCGACACAGGACAAATCGTCCGGCACGGCGGCGCCGTGGGAAGTGTGCTGCCTCATGGCCAAGACAATGCTCGTCGATGCGAGTGTGGCGGTCGTGCTGACGACGTTTCAATTGCTCACGGCCGTCGTGAGCGGTGCGACGTCGGCGAGTCAAGGCGACCGCGCCAGCTTGATTCCGTGGGGCGAGTGGGGGGTCCACCTCGTCCTGGCGTCGACGGTGCGGTCCGTGCTGCAGCAGGCTGCGCACCCTGCCGTCCGAGTTCGCCTCGCGGTCAAGCAATGGCTCCAAGTGCTCGCCCACCGCCACACGTTGGGGCGAACAGTGGTCGCGACGGCGCTGGTCGGGCCCCCCGACGCCGTGCGCCAACCCGGCGTGTCGGGGGGAAGCTGCTCCCGCGCCAAGCGACTCCAGCACGTCCGTCTTGGGTGGCAGCTCGTCGTGCGGCTCGAAATGCTCGACGACATGCTGCAGGACGACCCGTCGACGGATTTCGTCGACAATGTGCTGCCGTTCTTGGGCGCGTCATGCATCGGCCACGGCAGTGCCGCCGTCCGCGAGTGGACTCGAACGATTTTGATGTGGTTTCACAGCCAGGACGCGCCGCGACTGACGGCAGCGCTGCAACGGGGCAGCATCCCGCACGGACGCCAACTCGCGGCGCTGCTGGCCGACGCGACGGCGGCTGTGTCGACGGCGGATGGACCACCCTCGACCGTGCACGTTCGCACGAGCCGGATGTCCCATGTGCGGCGTGTCGCGGCGCTCCGGGGAGGTCCGGGGGACGAATCCCCCCGCGACGACGACTCGCCCGCTCTAGCGTCCGACAACGCGCCGGTCGTGAGCCGAAGCACGACGAAATCGAATCAAGTGCACGGGATCGCGACAAAGCCGCTGTGGCTCCGCGACCAGCGAGAGGACCAGCTCGAGCATGGAGGCGGGCAACTTGGGCTCGCCCGAGGACCGAATCTCATGGGCGGTGCGTCTGGCCTTGTCAAAGCAAGGCGCACCAGTCGACGCCGCAACAACCATGATGATGATGACGAAGACGACGATGACCGGCACGGGACGCCGCAGTGCCGACGGGTCCATGTCGGAAACGCATGAGTAGCAAGCAGAAGCAACAGATTAAACAACTAGCACGTGTCGTTTCAATCGTGGCAGCATCCTGGCAAACACACGGGACTGCGCGCCAGTGCGGCCACCATGCCACGGCCACCACCGCCGTTGGCCGTCGTCGGCATCGCCAGCGACCCCACGATGTCCTGGCTGAAACCACATTCGGCCATTCCGACAAATGGCGCACCATCGCGCGCTCCAACGAGTCGTGCGACCCATCGGTGAATAGATCGTCGTCGGATGCGCCGGTCCATGCGCGCGAGAATGGATATGCTTGATTTGTCGTCGGCTTGCGGCGGCGTGGTCGTTGCCACCGTGGAAAATGGATGGACAGTGGCGAAAACGCGTGCGCCGATCGGTGGCTGTGGGGCGCCTTTTTCGGACGACGACGCAGCGTCGGCTTTTCGAGCCCCGACTTGGTCCGGAGAAGGACGTCCAAGTCCACGCGAGGCATGTGGCTCGACGGGTGAACGATGCCAAACACAACGACGCGATGATGACGTCGGGCATTCTCTGCAGCCGCCCGCCAGTGGATGGTCCTCCAGTGCTCGCTCGTCTGGAGCCGACGTCACTTGCGTTGCGCCACCCGGATCCAATGTCGGTCCACGTGCAGCGCCACCACCCGCGACGGCTAGTCGTTCGGGCATTCCCCCGATAAAAACGACAAGGCACACACGATCGAATCTTCCGTCGGCACAATGGAGCGGCACGTCGAAAACACAAAACTCCGGACGCATTGTCGTCTTCATGGGTCTTCATCGCTTTGCTCGACAACGAGGACGGCGCCTCGGGTGCCGCAGTCGGCCTCGCTGTCCGACCAGTCGGCAGCAACCATGACGAGAGACCACGGCCGCCTCGCATGCGTGTAGAGGGAACGGAGAGACGATGGTGGCTGCCGTTTTGTGCGCCGCGTGGCCCACCGAGAGAGCGATCTCCGATGCGGACTCGCGCCATCTTGGCGCATCGCACACACTGCGTCGACATCATGGGACGAAGTTGAAGGAGGATGGCAACGACGTGTTGTATAAATTCGTTAGGGCACTTGGGCAGGGTCTCGAGGTCTGCTGCCGAGAGGTGCCGTGTTACGGCTTGGCTTCGTCGACAGGAGCCGCACGCGCCTCGACGGGGTCGACGTGGACCTTGACGTCGTCGGCATCGACCGCTTCGCTTTCGTCGTCGGCTCCTTCCGGATCGTCGTCCTTGCCATGGGACCCAGGCGCCAAGCCACGCGTCAATGCAGCCGTCACTTGCACCTACCATCATCATGCCACACTCACCCGTTGATTTCGTGCATCGAGTGAGAGGAATCGCACCGTGCGCACCGCCGCCTTGAACTTTCGGCGCGTGTTGTACTTTTTGAGCTCCTCCATGGCCTTGGTCAATGGCACAGTCGATACGTCGTCGCCCGTGACCCACACGTGTTGAAGCAATTGGTCGGCGGTGAATCGTTCCGCGGGGTTCACAATCAGCATCTTGGAGATAAAGTCCTTGGCATCGGCCGACACGTCGTCCCAGTACGGCGAGTCAAACTTGTACTGGCCGAGCTTGATCGCGGTGAAGAGGCGCTTCTGGTTCTCGTCGTGGAACGGAGGGTACCCGCAGAGCAAAATGAACGTGATGACGCCGATGCTCCAAATGTCGACGGATTTGCCGTACGATTCGCCCTTGAGGATTTCGGGCGCGACGTAGCCGGGGGTGCCGCACGCGGTCGTGAGGCCAGCCTTCATATCTTGCTTGGCAAAGCCAAAATCACCAATCTTAATGTACGCGTCGTCGTCCTTGCTTGTGAGTAGCAGGTTTTCGGGCTATGGGGCCAGTGTGTTACGACGGAACATGATGGGGAACCACAGGGTCGGACCTTTAAGTCGCGGTGGACAACGTTTTGGTCGTGGCAGTACTTGATGGCGCCGAGAAGCACCTGGACCAAGTCACGCGCTTCCTTTTCCGTGTAGAAAGTCTAAGAGACGACACCCCTCGTCAGCCCGTCAAGGGACCGAATACAGGCAGTGGGGACTGCACCTTTTCGACGATGCGGTCAAACAGTTCACCGCCTTCCATAAACTCCGTGACGAGGTAGTAATACTGAGCTTCTGTGTACACTTCAAAGAGAGTCATGATGTTGGGGTGCTCCATCTACGCATGAGCGGGGTCAGCTCGTTACGGTCGGGAGTGGTGTGTACCTTCTTGAGGATATCAATTTCCTCATGCAGCGCGTCCAGATCTTCCTGCGACAGACCGCTCTTCTTGATGCATTTGATGGCAAACTTCTTGCCCGTGGCCTTCTGGATTCCTTCTTTCACCACGGAGAACGTCCCTTCCCCGAGCTTCTTGCCGAGCGTGTAGTTGGCTTCAAAACCATGGCGCTGCGGTTCATTCGTCACGAGCTCCGTCGATGGTGCCCCTGTCGCTCCCGTCGTCGCGGGGGCAGCGGCCGCGTTCGGCGCGGCGGGTACTTGAGGGATCGGACTCGATTTGACGCAGCCCATCTTGTTGCAATCGCCGCTGCTTTGGAAGTAACCCCATGGATTCGTTCGATATTTGACGTGGGCTCTTACATCTTTATCTTGGTTTTTGTATGCCATTGAAATCGTGGAATGGCCTAATTTAGGCATTCAAGTGCCTGAATAGGTAGGCGGTGCCCATTGGTAACGTCCACGCAACATGCAACTGACTCTGGTGCCACCAACGACGACATGGCGATCTCGCACCACGGCAAGGAATGTCGGGTCGGGGAAGGTGCGCGGTGCTGGGTAGTGAGAGCGCGGTAGCTGCATGTGGGCATCGGGCAGGCCCCATTGAGCTCTACAGGAGACGACACCGATGGCTGGGGTGCAGCGTTACATTGCGACACGCGCGTGGTGCAGCAAGCGACAGTGTACGTAACACTTGTGGCAGTCGCACGTACCCTCAAATCGTCTGCGGTGCGAAGCAGTTGCATGTTATCGACCTCACGTTGGGCAGATGCGGGTTCATCGCACCCGATGGGATGCATGCGCGCGTCAGTCGCGCCGTTAGCTGCAGTACACAGCAACGTGCTCAAAGCCGAAAGTCAGTTGTCAGCAACATGCTACTGACGATGTCTCGTCGTGGAACTCGGCAAATACCTGGGGTTCGCACACAATGGTGTGTTGCGGTGCAGCTCGGAGATCGACGAGTCGCGCGCACGAACGCTGCACGAGCGCAGACAAAAGATCGACGTGGCCACGGTGGCATCGTTGCAGAGCAGTCGCGGTGTTCTTTCCCTTGAGTGGATGGGATTCGTTGCGGGCTCGTGACGTATGCCACGGCATGATCTTGGTCAAGGCATTCCGTGGCAAGAAGATCTCCAAGACCCGACGTAGCGTCACGACGTTTGCCGGCATATCCGTCTTTCCCACCGTCATGTGCGACGTCCATCGCCGGCTACCACAACCGCTGATGCGACGTGCTTGGGCGAGAGAGGTCTTATCGCCCACTACGACGCAACGATGCTGCAAGCTCCGGACTGTGAAGGGCGCTGCATGTTACCGTGGACTTTTTCACTCCGTCGTTTTGCGGTGCACCATCGCCTACCTGCTGAATTCGGTCGCAATCTATTTGGGAACCGATGGCGTCAATAATGGAGGTGCCGAGGACGCCGTTGCTCTCGACCTTTGAGGCCGATCCATCATGAGCCAGTTGGTGCAGAGCCAACAGCGCCAGGTGATTCCATCGACTCTGGAAGGCGATGTAGCTGGTGAACGGCATTGGCGTCGTAAATGTGTTGTCAGCTCGGCTCAGGCGAAGCAGCCGGTGTGCACTTCTTGACATGTACAGTATGCAAATCGTGGAGGGAGTCCACACCACGTGGTCCTCGACTGCGCATGTCAATAGCATCGGGTTGCCGCTCTTGGGCCTCTTCTTGTATGCGGCATCGTGGCGCGATCGCCGCCAGCACTTGAACTTGGTGCGTCTGGGACGCCAGTTCAAAAAGCCTGAATGCGTCATAGGTTAAATGAGGCGTCATTTGTGCTGATTGGCTCAAATAGTGCGTTTTTATTACCTCGAGAGGATTTCACGCTGTCAAGAAAAACCCAGTCGGTGGTTTGAAAGCGGCCGCGATGGCGGACAACCGGCGGGAATACGGCGACGAGATCATGGAGGATGCAACGATCACGCGCGGAAAGACTGGCCGACCCCCCGCGGCGGTCCGTGTCCATTATGAAGAGACGGGAAGGATGAAGAACGCGTCCACGGCGTTGCTCGTGTGCAAGTTCTGTCACAAGGAGGTCGCCGGCCGCGCCGTGTCACTCGAAGGCCACCTGAAGAAGTGCCCGAACGCCCCGGAGGAGGTGCGACCGCCCAAAGTTGACAAGAAAGAGCGCATATCTGGACAGGCGACGTCGGTGCATGCTTCGTCCATGGCCATGGCGATGTCAACTGCTGGGGCCCTGAAAGCCGAGACGAAGCACGCGATGAAGAAGTTGTGCACCGTGACGACGTCGATGGAAAACAAGTTCAAGAACCTGATCGTGCCAAAACTCAACTCGATCCAGTCTCTACATCTCATGATGCGCGACAAGCGAAGCACGCACCTCCAGTTCAAACAGCATGCTGACCGCCTCATGAGGTCCATACGTCGTTGGTCTGCTCCGCTTCTCACTTGGACCGTGTAGGCTGCTCGCCGAAGAGGCATTAGCGACATGCGCGATGGAGTTTGCCACAGTGTGGACACCCAACGGCGTCGAGTACTCTGGCATGCGACCGAACAGCAACGTTTGTGCAGTGCCGATTGAGCGCTCAGGGGACTGTTTGCTCGAACAAGTTCTGCAATGCGACCCTGCCGTCTCTGTCGGTAGGTGCTGCACTTTGTCGCTCATTAAGTATGCGATCTTGATCATCGTGCGTCGTCTAGGTAAATTGTTGATTGAACAAGATGAGTCGTCGCCCGAGAAGAGCCCAGTCCTGTTTTACTCGAAGCTTCCTCCACGTATTCCGTCGTATGACCGGGTTTTGCTCTTGCAGCCAACTCTCGCAACGGGATGTGTTGCTGTCGTTGCGATCCGGGTACAGTCTCCAACTCGTTGCCGGGAGCCAACTGTCGTGTAGCTGCTGTTGGACGCAGGAGTTGACGAGCGCAATATTCTCCTCGTGAGTGTCGTGGCATGCCCCGTGGGCCTCACGGCCGTGTTCCAACTTTACCCCGAAGTGAAGATCATTGCGACCGCGATCGACCCGGAGCTCAATAGCACGATCGACACGTCACCCGGGTTGGGCGACTTTGGGGATCGGTACTTTAACACAATGCAGGGGCACAAGGCGGCAGCATCCGCTTCGCACGCCGTCATGTCGCGGCACCCGCTCGGCGGCGGCGTCCTCGTTGACGAGTACTCGATCGTGTAATTACATAGATGGACGAGTTTGAAATTTCAAAAATGGCGCGCAAATCAGGGGGAGTTGAAAAAACCGCATTTTACCGGAATCACGCGGAACGGGTGTTTTGATCTGATTGGTCAAAAAGGGAGTTTTAGTCCCCGCCGTTGGTTTGCCAGGCCGTTAAACGGCCATACTAAAATCGGTTTGACGTACCATGGCCGAGTCGCAGCTGCAGAAACTCAAATATGGCGATGAGCTGATGGAGGCTGCGGAGCAGATCGCGCGCGGGAAGACGGGCCGCCCCCCTGCCCCCGTCCGCGTCCACTTTGAGGAGACGGGCAAGATGAAGAACGCGTCAACGACACTTCTCCTGTGCAAATTCTGCCACAAGGAGGTCGCGGGACGAGCAATTTCCCTGGAAGGGCACTTGAAGAAGTGCCCGAACGCGCCTGACGAAGCGCGGCCGCCGAAAGGACCAAAGAAGGAGAAGATTCCACGGTCCGCGTCCGAAATGGCCTTTGGCAACACCCATACAAATGGGAATGGCAACAGTATTATCAAAGGAGAACACAAACACGCCATGAAGAAGCTATGCACCGTCACAACGTCCATGGAAGGCAAGTACCGAAACCTCCTTGTTCCCAAGCTCGCTGCAATCCAGTCACTTCAATTGATGCTGCGCGACAAGCGAAGCACGCATCTGCAGTTCAAACACCACGCCGACCGACTCATGCGGTAGGACAGTCCTTGTTGAATATTCGTGTGACGTATGTTGGCGATGCAGCATCATGGCTGAAGAAGCGCTCGCCGTGTGTGCCGTGGAGTTTGCGACAGTCTGGACCCCCAATGGTATGGAGTACTCTGGCATGCGACCAAACAACAACCTGTGTGCCGTGTCTATCCAACGATCTGGTGATTGCTTGCTCGAGCAAGTGTTGCAATGCGACCCGTCCGTCTCCGTCGGTACGAAAGTGCAAGCATGATGCCCCCCTTTACCTCAATCCGTTCTCATCTCCCGCGCTACTCTTCAACAGGCAAGCTGCTTATTCAGCGCGACGAGACATCTCCCGAGAAGACCCCGATTTTATTCTATTCCAAACTTCCGCCACGTCTTCCCACGTACGATCGTGTCATGCTGTTGGACCCTATGCTGGCGACGGGGGGCAGTGCCATGATGGCGATCCAGGTACGTATGCACTCTGACACCGTCGGGAGATTCGTTGTGCCTCAGGCTCGTCTTGTTGACAGCTCCTCCGCAACGCCGGTGTCGACGAATCCAACATCGTACTTGTCAACATTGTGTCCTGTCCTGTTGGTCTCTCGTACATCTTCGAAAACTTTCCGTCGATCAAGGTTCTCACGTCCGCGATCGACCCCGAACTGAATGCGAACAAGTCGGTGCTTCCCGGCCTCGGCAGCTTTGGCGACCGCTACTACAACACAATCAACTAATGTCCATTAAAGATATGCCCGTCCTCGTCGTGCTTCCTCGTTCACGTTCGCATCTTTGGTACGAAGTTGGATGCCATTGACGTTTCCGTCCGTTACACCCATCACTTGTGTGACTCCCATCGACGCGAGCAGGGTCTTGCAACCCACGGACCGATCTGTCGTGCATGGAGAGAGGCAGCAAGGCGCCGCCGCTGTATCGACCTGCACGCAGCTCGAATTACAACTTTGTCCACGTCCCGCAGTCAAAGTCTCCGCGCAGACACCATGACCCTGCGCTGCCAACGAGCACGCTGGACACTATCGTCGCCACGATCCTCGAAACATGGGCTGTTCGTTTGGGACAGTGCCAGGACGACGATTCCACGCAGGACGCGTCCTCCGACTGCTCCACGGTTCCCGAGCGTGTGCGCAAACTGTGGCAGGCGGTCGTGCGCGATGCACAAACGGGTGTGTATGGTCGTGCCAGCGACGACGTGGTCGGGCAGCATGCATTGCCGAATCCGATCTGCACGGCCATCTGCGTTGAAATCGTGATCGAGGTGATGATGAGCCATCGTCAGGCGCCGGTGACGTTTTCAATTCCGTAGATCTTGCGCGCCGTGCTGCCACGCCATGCCGGGATCGTCGACGTCGTCATCGGAAGCCTCGTGCACTCGATCTACAGCAAGTACGATCCGTCCAAGTCCTACTACTCCAACACGATGTATGCCCATGGTACGTTGTGTCTTTTGGCGAAGCGGAATCTCTGTCATGGACGGGAAGGTGCCTCACTTGGCGCGGACAGCTGGCCAAGACCACTTGGCGGTGTCGCTCGTACAAAGCACCGTCCGCACGCTGTACACCGTACGTTGCATGTGGCCAGCGTGCGCTGTTTCATTCGTGGTGGGGCCGTGGCGATGGTTGTAGGTGTATGGGTACTTGGACTCGCCAACGCAGCTCTCGGTGGCCATCGAGCTGGTGAAGCCCCTCGTGACGACAGAGATCTTGGGCGACCTGTGGGAAAGCCTCATGGCCAAGCTGCCGCGACGAGATCACTCCCAAGCAGCGGCGCACATGTTACTGTTCTCCAGGTGCTTTGCATCGCTGCCGCGGGACGAGAAGCGCGAGATTCTCCCGCTGCTGGCGTCGTCGATTCAACGGCGCATCGAAGAGTTCGTCCCGTCGATCGGGACACTGGAATCGTCGTCCCGCGCGGTAAACGTTGACCAAGAAGACTCGTTCGACCCAGACGGCGTCGTGCCAAGATCGTGGGAGCCGTCAACTTTTTACGACGCCGCCACGCATCACAGGCCGAGGGGGTCCGTCGCGCGAGCGAGCATGTTGAAATCGCACACCGCGCCGATGGATTATCGGAAAACGTCGATGCTGGGCAAGCCAGCGCATGAACGAGGCACGAGGAACGGCCTGAATTCTCTGGTCATGGGAGCCAGCGACCAAGCGACACCGCTACCGACGATGCGCAAGCCATCGAACGCGCGCAAAGGAACAATGCTCGGGATGGGCTCGTCATGTCGGCGCAAGTCGACACGGATCCACGACGTCGCCGTCCTTCGCCCAGACCAGTTGCATGGAATCCTCCCGCATGTCGGGCCGTCTCGGCAAAGCACCGCGCCACCGGCGTTGGTGAAGCAGCCGTCGTCCGTTGGCACGGGGGAGCCCGACACGTCTGCCGAGTTGCTCGAGTTCGTCGACGAGCTGGCCGACGACTTGAAGGACATTTACGCGTTGTTGCGGGCGGGCGAGTATCGTAGCCAGCAGAGCGGGATGCAAGATTTCGCCAAGCTGCTCACGACTCGCCTCCACGTGTCACTGGATGATGTCGACCACGAGCATCAAAAGGGCGGTGCGGCGGACCCCAAGGAAACGGAGCTGATGGCCGTCACGAGCATCATCCAGCTGGTCAAAGCGCACCCAGGCGCGCTCGGGAGCGTGCTGAAGCAAGTGCCAGACTTGGTCGTCGACACTCTGCGGTCACAGCAAGGAATTCTCAAGTACTGCATGGTGCATTGTTCGTGGGTCGTCCGGCACTTCTTGAAGCTCGACGCTGCTGCCACGGAGACGTGGCAATCGATCGTGAAGGCGCAGTCGAAAGGCCTGACGTTGCTGTGGTCGACCGACCAATTCGCCGCCGACGAAGTCGTGGTGTCGCCGATCGAGGCCGCATACCAGTGGCTGCAAACCCACGTGCCGGATGCGGCCAAAGTGCTCCTGCTCAACCATGACCTGGCCAAACTTATCTTTGCCGAGATGGAGCGCGAGGTCTTGACGGCAAAAGCGACCAACAAGGGGCTGCGCCTCAAGATGCTGCTCACGGAGCTCGAAGACCTTCCGACCTTCCAAGCGCACATGCACTTGGCGGCGCAAAAGGGCCTCGACATGGCCATCAAGCACGACATGAAGGGCGTTGTCACGATGCTCACGATCATCTTGAACAACAACGCGCATTTGAAAGACCTTGCCGCATCCAGCGTTGAAATCACGGCCGCGCTCGCCGTCCACAACAAGCACGCGCTGCTCAACTTGCTCAACTCGGATGTTGTCACGTGGAAGCCGTTCTTTGTGCAAATCATGATGGAGAACAATTTTCTTCTGACCGACTGGTACGTTCGACGAGATCCATTCGCTTTCACGACGCTGCTCCCCTCATGCTGCGCTGTAGCTTAATGACAAAGGTACCCACACCAAGGCGACTTTGGCCTCTGCCGCACCATCCTGCTGACTTCATGCGTAGACCAAGCATTTGCCTGGCGGTGAACAACTCATGGTCGCCTTTCATTCCGTCTTGGACGGCGTCGCGGGCCACTGGGTCACAGGTCAGTCGATTCAAGCTCGCACGAGATGGCGACTCGACGGCATGTAGGCGATGAAGATCAACCGTCGGGTGTGGCATTTAAAGCGCGCGGCCACTTTAAGCGAGCGTTGAGTGTGCTGCGCTTGGCCCAACGCCGTCGAAATACCACCGCCGAGTCGCTGGATGGAACCGATGCGCTCGACGACAACGCGCTTGCGCCGACGCGTGCAAGCCAAGGCAATGTGCCGAGGAAAGCATCGAACAAAGCCGCCACCACGCGACAACGGCAGATGCTGGATGGGATCCCGCGTGCGTCGGTCGTGCCAGGCGTGTACCACATCCCGTGGATTTGGAAAACGTTCCTGATCGATGCGACGTTGGAGAGGGCCGCGACGACGCCCAAGCATCCTTGGGGGCGGCGCGAATTGAAGCGATTCATCCTCGACATCGTGATCGAAAAGATCAAGTTGGATGAGCTCGACACGGACGACGACGTGCTGAGCGACTTGTCTGTGTTTGTCTGCGATTACCTCACCAACAAGCTGCAAAATCGAGGGTACGCCACGCACGACCAACAGCGCACCGTCACGTTGACGACGTAGGTTGGTGTGTTTTCAACTGCAGCAGCTCGTGAACGGAATCCAAAAGCACATTGAAGACCCACGTGTGTCGTTCTTTGCCGCGGCATGTGGCGTCAAACAGCCCCTTCGACGTGGCGTGCTGCATTCGTGCCTTCGTTCGCTGTCGCATTTGCTCTTTGGCCAGCTGCGGGTGCGTTGCACGCGAGTGCCGGCGCGTCCGACCCGTCGACGTAGATTTTCCGGTCCGAGAAACGTTTGCAAGAGCTCGTGGACGGATCGTGCGTCGTACCGGTGGCCGCGGTCGAGAGCGCAGCACGGAGTGTGTTTGCGCAGTGCCTGTCGTCCGAAGAGTTGACTGCCGTCGCCGGCGAGATTGCAACTCTTCGACGCTTCCCTGCTTCCGACATGTACGCTGGTGGCGCTGGACCATGCCACGACCATGTGACGTGTGTGCTAGTTCCCACGAGCTCAACCATGTCGACCTCGACGACGCCATGGCGGTGTACATGCGCCAGTGGCAGCAGATTGAAGGGCACATGGACGAGGTACGAAAACCGTTGTGTTGCTGTCGGCATGTCAGACACACGTAGCAATTCATCCTGGCATTCAATCGGTTCCGCGGCGCAAATCAAGACTTTGTCGGGATCGACCAGTTTGTCAAGATCGTGACAACAGTGACCCGGCACAGCGTGAGTGTGCGCGACTGCCGCCTCATCTTCTACGACACGGGCAAGGAAATGATCGACCTGAACACACTCTTGCGGCTCACGCAAGAGTACGACCTCCGCATCTCGCTCGCCCACCCCAAGATCGTGCTGGACGAACATGACTTTGACTGCATCCGTCGAAGCCTCGGCGTTTCGAGCGTCCTGTCGTTTGAGGACGAGCTCAAGCAGCTCGTTGCGTGCTGGTCCGAGGTGAAACCAAACATCGACAAACAGCTCGCGTCGTTGCACCAGACAGAAGAGACCAAGCGCGACCTGGCCCACCACGTTCAGGCTGTTGAGGACTCGCTCGCGTACCTTCGATCGGGCATCGACACGCCGTCCATGAACACGGTGTGGGACACGTTCCGCGGCTCGATCGCGAGGTACGTCCTACACAGTCGGCGGCGGTCGTCGGCTGACGTTTTGGTTGGAGCTTGCAAGCGGCCGTGAACGCCCAGCGAAGTTTCAGCATCTTGTACGTGCAGTGCCACGTGCGAAAATGGGTGTCCAAGCTCAAGAAACGCAAGTCGGAGCGGCATTCGTTGAGGCGGCAAGAACGCCATGGCGGCGCAAAAGAGAGCGACAGTCCACAGCGACGCACGGCGCTGCGATAGCACGCGAGATGCAAGCCATGTTATCGAGTGGGAGATTACGCCCTGAACGATGTTGAGAGTCGTCGATGCACATGTGGGTCGACGACGCTTATTGCGCTTCGGCCAAATAGTCTTTGACTTCGCTCGGCGTCAACACGCGGAACTTCTTGTCGACGCCGATCACACCCACTTCAATGTTGTGTTCGTTCATCTCGCCTTCAAATCCATCGCGCATCGTCAACAGCGCCGTGTTGATCGCGTCTTCCAGCTCAATGTCGTCCGTGTATCTCTATACAAGTACGTTCAGATCATGCGCGGAAGATGCACATGTCGGTCGCACTCGTTCGAGGAAGGTCTTCTTCGTCACCGAGTCCTTGCCGATTGCCGTCGCTTTCCAGCCAAAATACGACCCCGATGGATCGATTTGGTACAATTGAGGGCCTTCGTCGTCGTACCCGGCATACAAGAGGGACACACCAAACGGACGGACACCGCCCGATTGCGTGAACTCTTGCATGATCGCAGCGATGTCGCGCACCAAGATGGAGGCCGGGGAGTTCTCCTGTGCACATTCAACGAGTGTGAAGGCGTCACGTCATATCTTGAATAAGCACCTTGTACTTGAGGAAGTACGCTTGTGCCTTCTTGCGCGCCTTTCGCACGAGGACACGGTAATCAGGGCCGAGGCCGCTGTAGATGACCCCCGCACTCGAATGCAAGCTCTCAATCTTCTTGTACGCCTTTTCGTCGACCAAGATCGTGGGCAGTTTCTTCTCCGTCACGATCACGACGCCGTTCTTGCAGCGAATGCCGAGCGTGGCGTGGCCGTTGTTGTTGACAGCATTGAGCGCATATTCAATCTGGAGAAGCTTTCCCGACGGGTTGAACGTCGTCAAACTGAACGAGTATGCAGAGTCCGCCATGCTGGGTGATCCTACACGTCAAGATTCGGCATGAGGGGCGTTGCCGTCAACCTTGGTCGCCGCACAATCATCGTACGCCGCGCCGTACCTCAAATCCTGATGTGGGAATTGTCCAAGAAGATATCCTCCTAAAAATGAATACTCAATTTTAGAGGTATTCAATATGCACCCCTCACGTCGAGTGTTCTTCTATCAAAAAGACTCCGGGTATTCTTGTATCGAGGGTATTATCCGGACAAGTTTGAAATGCCCAGCATGGCGGCGCTGCTCCAACTCGGCGGCCGCGCCGTTCTGGGGGTATGGGGCTGGTTCTTTGAGACACCAAACTGCATCTTCCAGGTGAGTGAGTGCATGGAAACAGTGTGCAGTGCATGCGGAGAGAGACCTTACTGTGGATTTGTGTAGATCTTGTATGTTGTCCTGCTCACAACGTGCTACTACTCCGTCGTCACAGAAGTGTGGCCATCCGTGACCGTCATGGACAAGTGAGCGCATCGACTTGGGAAGAATGAAATCTTACGGTGCAGCGCGTCGTCGTCATAGATCGATGTCGGCTTCACTTGGCATTGCTGCCTTGGGCTTGTTTGCCGTCGTGTCGTTCGCAGACCCAGGTCGCATCACTCGAGATAACATCCGCCGATTCAAGCGATACCCTGCGCATCCAGTGCTCTATCCCCCGAACACGACGTGCTCGACGTGCCAGACTCTGAAGTACGCTCTCTTCATTGACCCTACAAGCATCTAACGCGCGAGAGGATCCCGCGCTCCAAGCACTGCCGCGTGTGCAATCACTGCTTTGCCCGCTTCGACCACCAGTAAGCCACCACAATGGCTCTTCTCCAAGCAAGCGCTCACATCGTGTTTGTAGCTGCAGTAAGACTGACTGCGGCAGGACCCTTGACGCAGGATCGCTCTACCTTTCTAGTCTGGGTCAACACTTGTGTCGCCGCCAACAACTACGGCCCGTTCTTTGCCTTTCTCGTCGTCAACATGGCGGGGGCAGCACATCTGCTGTACTTGACCATGCGCAGCTTCTTGCGCCAGGTGACCCCTTTCTTGGCTACGAAAAATGTTGATTCGGCACTAGTTGGACGCGATTATTTCCCCATCGTCGTCCCGGTCCGTCGACGATGCCAAGCTCATCTTGACCGACCTCCTCTCGGTACAGCGCGCGGCGCTCTGTGCACCTCACGTTTGATTCCAGGTCAAGCCGGGCGTAACATTTGTCGCGTGCATGACTGCCATGGTTTGGTTTCTCGTGAGCTGTTTGATGGGCTGCCACCTCAGCCGCGTATATCGCAACTGCACCACGAACGAGCATTTTAAGCGACAGCATTTGAAAGCTTCGTTGGCGCGTGAGGACGCGAACGACGATGACCCGCCGTCAAGCAGGCCCATACCCATGGATCTGTCATGGGGCGTCTTGGAAGTGAAACCGCGCCTGACGGCAAGAGCGATCGACTCGAACCCGTATGATCTCGGCATCGTGTACAACATCCGGGACGCGCTCTTCCCTCCGTCGCTAAAGCTCGATTGAACAGGCCAAGCGTCGTCTTTGTGACTTTCATGCATGCAGCCAGCCTGCATGCAGTGCTGCTAGCTTGGCATAGAGGGCTGGTCTCCGAACTCAACTGTTGGTGTTCTTGGGGCCGCCCCCCGGCGACGGTCCGCCTCGTTCCAGCGAGGCCAGCGTGTCGGAGACAAAATCGCGCGAGTGCAAATCCCTCTGGCGGCCAACGGGGCCTGGGTCCCCTTGGCAGACGTGCTGGCTATCGCACACACCCGTCCATGCAAGTTGAGAACGAATCGCATGCCGCACAGAAAAGGCATTTCAATCGAATCGGAACGTTGAACAGAGCATGGCTTTTTCTACTGCCGTTTGGATGGCAAGCAAGTTTATGACGATGCCGCGACCGCAGATGCGTCGGTGCCTTGGTTGCCCGTAGACGAGTCCGCGGCGACTGTGTCGCTGCCAAGTCCAAGCGCGTCGAAGAAGCGGTCGGCCGAGAGACCTGTGGAGGGCTGCGCGACCGCACTCAGCTTGGACGTGATCCACTTGATGAATTCGTCCTTGGTCAGTTTGGAATAGCTGTCTTTATCGTACTGTCGCAGCCAGGATGAGCGACTCGATCCGGTATGCCTCTCGTACCGCTCGATACACGTCCAACGCGAGGGCCTCAACTTTGTCGTCCTTTGGAATGGTGCCGTGACCCGTGATGAGGGCAAACCCTCGCAGTGCACACATAAACAGGATCGTCTACCAAGTCGCCGTCAGGTTGGTCCCATGGCCGTGGTGTACCGTCTCGTCCAGCGAGACGGTGTTGGTGCCGCTAAAGTCGAACGCTCGAAAGCACACTACTCGACCAAAGCGCGATGAGGGTGGGCGAAGAAGGGAGTGGTCGGGGTGTGCTCTACATGCTGCTTTTTCATTTACATCGCCCATGACGGCCAACGCCGCGCCAGTGATAAACGTGAGCGCGTTGATTCTGCAAAACGTCGGTCAGCAACAGAGCACGAAGGATGGTCCGACGCACAATCCGTTGGGGCTTCCAAATGCCTTGACAATCTCCTCGCTCCACTCCTTGTCCCCGTCCAGGAGCAAGCTCAGCGCATGCGAATCCAGCCCAAAGTCCAAGTCCTTTGCCACGTAGTCTGTCAGGAGCTTCTCCACACGGCCGAACGACCCTGCATTTGACGGGTCAGTTCATCGGCCGCGCCATCGAGCGCGCGTACACTCAGAGAGGCGCTGGAATGGCACGTGCAGATGCGGCTTGCTTTCGGCACCCCCCATCTCGAACGGCACAGGTTGTGGCGAAAGGTCGCGACCTTTTTCATCCGGATCCGGATAGGGACACCTTGCATCTTTGTCCCGCATGGAAGCGGTGGCACGTTCGCGGCAGACGGGGCGGTGCCTCATGCAGAGAGTTTGACGGCTCGCCACCATGCTCGGCTCCATTCCTTCTACGAACCGTAATGCGGTTCCTTCGCGTGCGCCAAACAACTCCCCTACCGACGACGCTGCGCGAACTCTATGGCCCATCTGTGCAGAGAACACACTGCACCGCCAAGTTGCAGTTCGCACCATCATCGACATCCTGTGGGCTCTACTTGATGTAACCCAGCGCGTGGACACAGACGGTGCCAACGGCCACGTTGCCGTCTGCCCATCCCGATGAGCATTGCCGACTCGAGAAAACGTTTCCTTGTTACTTGAGCTCTGTCCGCGCAAACTCGTCCCAAGCCGTGTTGAGAGCATCGAAGATACGCTCTGCAACGACGAGTTGGTCGGCGGTGCGACCGCCTGCCTTGTCTGGGTGGACGACCATGATTGCTCGACGGTACACCTTCTTCACGTCGTTTGGCATCAAGAGCTTGCCCATGTTCACCTACGTCCGTCCATGACATTCCATGCCAGTCGTCGCAACCAATTCACTACGTACCTCGGTCCACTTGGAGTCTGGCCACATGACCTGGTGCATCGTGCTCAGCAACGTGCGGATGTTCTTCTTGCGACCGTTGTCCTCGGCCCACGCCTTCATCTTTGGCCCGAGCACCACGACGCTCTGCGCCTTGGCGTTTTCCATCGCGACCTTCTCGTCGTCGCGACGGAGCAACTCGAGTCGCGCGCGCTCGATTTCGGCCGCCTTGGTGCGTTCGCGCTCTTCCATGGCCGCCCGCACCGCCGACGACTTGGTCGATTTGTCGACGAGGTCGGGGTTGTACACTTGGGATCCATCCGAACTCACTTTGTGCTTTTCCATTTCGGCCAGCGACACCGGGCCTAGTTGCAACTGCAATGACACAGAGGAGAGAGGGCCATCACGGTGTACCGACGGTTTGCCCGCAGTCGTCTTCGAAGTTCTTGGCTGACGCCACGGGCTTTGGCGGCGTCTTGGGGCGGGGTGCACCGGTGGCACTTGGTGTCGAAGCGGCAGGTTCGAGCAGGGACGGCTTGGCCTTCCACGTGGCGCCTCCAGAGCTCATAAGATCCACAACCTCTGCAGTCTGGGGGGGCTTGGCACGAGTTCCGCCGCCAGACAAGAAGTCTTCAAAGGACTCTGTACTTTCTGTAGATACGTCGGCGCACGGTGGCTTTGTCGAAGGTGCTGGAGCAGGTGGACGAGACGGACCGCCAGACGACGGCGCGGTGTCCGAGTACTTTTGCGAACGATCTGCCGACGACCCGCCGTTGTTGGTTCGCTGGGAAGATGACGCGGTGGGCTGCACAGACGGCAGCGACGATGCCTTGGACGGCAGGGAATCGATCCACTTGAGGACGGGCTTGCGATGGAGAACGAGGCCGATTTTCGTCGGTCGTTGGAGGCGCAGGACCTTGGCGATCACGCGGCCATTGACTAGCGGAACAACTTGGGACAGCGACGTAACATCCATCCAAAAGAACGTGTCTCCCTTGGCGCTGTTGACGCGAAAACGAAAGTGAAACGCGGTCGGGGTCGCCAGCGGAAAGCGCTTGTGCACGTCGGCGAGGGTAATGTCGGCGCCAGGGCTAGCTTTCGGGATGCGGAACGCGTTCGGATGCGACCTGTCTTCGCCGTCCTCGGCCTGCAGGTAGTAGAATGCCCACGCGGTGGAAGTGTCCATCGACACCCAAAGATCTGGTCGCAAGATGGAAGTTGGTGCCGAAAACCGCTGGGGCTGTCGCGACGTATACGTTGTGGAAGGGTGGGAGAACCTAATCGAAGGAAAAGTGTACCTTCGCGACAGATGTACTTGAACGGGTGACTAGTCTCTGATAAAGTACCGTTTTACCGGGATTGGCTGGAATGCCATATTGAACATGAAAAAGTTTGCCAAGAAGGGCGGGGCGGGTGCCGCCGCCGTGAACGACGACGAGCTTGAGCAGAACTGGGCGCCCGAGAGCGTGGAGGTCGACAGCAATACGTCGGACGTGGAGGTGGAAGACGATGACGAAGCAGACGAAGATGGTGAAGTCGAGGAGGTTCAAGACGACAAGGCGACGAAGAAGCGAGGTCGCGACGACGGTACGGACGAAGGTGGGAAGCCCGCCAAGACGAACAAGAAGCACAAGTCGACGAAAGGTCTGCAGAACATGACGCAAACCGAGCACTTCAAACTCGTGAACGAAGTGTACTCGAAGCTCTACGGGGACAAGCTGACGCCGGTCGAGATTGCGAACGGGCTCACGGAAGCCCATTTCACGGTCGTGCCTCAGTTCGGCAAGCACAACCTCGACAGTCTCTCGCGCTTCCTTCGCTCGATCTGCCCCAAGTGGAAGCTCCTGTTCAAAGGCAAGGGCATCAAGGGCGACTGCAGTCCGATTCTCGTCATCCTGTGCTCGTCCGCGCTGCGGGCAGTCGAAGTCGGCAAAGCGATCGCCGTGTTTCACTGCCACGTAGCCAAGCTATTTGGGAAGCACTTCAAGCTGACAGAACAAGTCGAGATGCTCAAACGCTTCCACCCCATTGCCATCGGTACGTCCTCGCACCACACAACCTTTCCCGTCTTGACCAGCGACGATGGTCAGGTACACCCGGACGCATCAAGGCGTTGCTCGAGATGAAAGGACTCTCGCTCAAGCACACGACGCACGTCGTCGTCGACATGCACCGGTACGTGCCATGGACACTGCTGCGTCGCTAAGCGCGCGTTCCTGCAGTGATTCCAAGCAAATGTCGATTCTCGAGCTCAAGGACACGGCCAAAGACACGATCGACATCATTCGGGACCACATGCTCGTGCCGCTGGCGACAGAGAAGCTCTCGATTGCATTGTACTGAGGCGTTTGCACTGCCTCCCCAGTCAATTGACGAAACTTTCAACGTTGCGATCGATTGTGTCTACCCAAAGATCGACGTTGTACCCACTGCCGCCGCCCGCGTGGAGATGGTGGCGCGGGGTTTCTTTCTCTAACCTGGCTAGGACGCCGCTCGTGCGGCTGCTTTTTGCTGCGCCATGATCTACACGGTCTCCTTACGCCCCCCGCCCGAGTCACGAGAAATCCTTACCGCCCGGACAGCTCCTTTCAACTTGTCCCGCGCCGTGAACCGCCGGAGCTCGTCCAGAGCACTGCTTAGCTGCAACGTCGAGACCTGCACACCGTCGTCGATCACTCGACGTCCCTTGATCTGGATGCTGTACCTGGCTCCCGACTATCCACGGATGTTCGAGCAACTGCGCGGCCGTCGCTCTGTGGCACAACAACGTCATCGCGTGAGTACGTTTGTCGACCGAGATCGTGGCGAGCGAGCATGGAGAGACGATCGGTACCGCTTTTTGTTGTCGACGACCAGCATCTGCTTGATAAAGTGCTTGGCGTCGTCCGAGATGGCGTCCCAAAACGGCGAGTCAAACGCGAATTCGCCCTTACGAATCTTGCGAAACAGCGCTTGGTGGTTATCGTCGTGGAATGGCGGGTACCCGCACAGCAAGATGAACGTGATGACACCGATGCTCCAAATGTCGACCGACTTGCCGTACGCGGCGCCCTTGAGGATCTCGGGCGCCACGTAGCTGTGCACAGCGGTCAGGATGGATCGACTCCACAGAAAAATGCGTACCCAGGAGTGCCGCACGCAGTCTTGAGCCCTTCGTCGTGCATGTCGACCCGTTTTGCAAACCCAAAGTCGGCGAGCTTGATGGATGCGTCGTCGAGCTTGCTCGTCAAGAGCAGGTTCTCGGGCTGCCCATGCACACACACGTTAGCGGCATCCACGTCGGCATGTCGTACTTTGAGGTCACGGTGAACGACATTGCACTCGTGGCAGTACTTGATGGCCTCGAGCAGGAGTTTGATGAGGTCCCGAGCTTCGCGCTCCGAGTAGTACGACTAGGGTTGAGTCGTCAGGGGGAGGTCGATCGATCGCCACGGCGACTCACCTTGTCGACGATTCGATCGAAGAGCTCGCCGCCGTCCATGTACTCCGTCACGAGGTAATACCAGTCTGGCTCGGAGAAGAAGTCGTGTAGGATCATGATGTTGGGATGCTTCATCTACCCAACGCGAGTGACGCACGTGACGGCGACCGTCTAGTACCTGCTTGAGCACGGCCACTTCGGTCGTCAGCGCCTCCAACTCGTCGTTGGACAGGCCGCTCTTCTTGATGCACTTGATGGCGTAGCGCTGGCCGGACGGTTTGTGCAGGGCTTCGCGGACGATGGAAAAGTTGCCCGTGCCAAGCGTTTCTCCAAGCTTGTATTGATCGGTGAAGCCAATGCCGTATCCGCATGTAGGACTTTCAGGGCTGAATCCATCCATCGGCGGCGGCGGCGGCGGCGGTGGCGGCACAAGCTCTAACGACGACGACGACCTGTACGCGGTCCCAGGCTTCGACGCGATCTTGTCCGATGGCATGCGTCGATACCCTGCTGATGGTCGACGCGGCGACTGTTGCGGCACAGACGGTGGTGCAGGAGGCTGCATCTGTGATGGCTGCGCCGGGATCCGCTGGGCCGACGAGTTGGCACAGCCCATCCTCGATCGCGACGCCCTCTCGATGAGTTGTGCTGCCGGAGTGTAATGCGTTGGCACACATCCGGATAATCAACCCATTATCCGATATGTCTCGTCCGCATAACGGGTTTTATTCGGATAATCGTGGCAAGTGCGACGGCGAGGAATTCGTCGGAGCATGGGGGTGTTCATCGGCGGCAGCACGAGGGGATCTGGCTTTGCCTGCATCTACCACACTCAACATGACGTCGCCCACTTGAGCTTCAACAGCTCGTCGGAGTGTGTTTGGTGCAGAGATCGTGCGACCTGTGGCCACCATCACGGCATGCAACTCGCTGCGACGCGAACAACGACATCGTCGTCTTCCAACGCTGCAATGCGTCGAGCCACGTGGACGGCCCGCCCGTCGGTGACACGAGCCATGAGTATTGCTCAATTCGGCGTCCAGGACGTTCATTTTACGTAGAACGTCATCGTCGGGCATCCGCGAGAGAGAGAGTTCGTTGGCCAGTGCTTCGCCATACTGAGTCGATGGAGTACAAAGATGCGGTGGACGAGAGCGTCAGGGGGAGGGGCGGCGTTTTCTTTCGTTTGATCTACCTTCTTGAATGCTAGAGCTAATATTCGTATGCTTCGGGATACTCGACTTGGATGGACCGTTTGCCGACGGGAGACCACGGACGAAGGTCGCCGCCTGCGAGAAGCGCGTTGATGGCTGGCCGAGACAGGTTGACGGCGTCCAAGGCTTGGAAGAATTCGTGCGGCGAACACGACTATCAGGTCGGTCGATCATCACAATCACTCGAGCAAGCGAACGGTATACCTTGGGAACGTTGTGGAGGAATTTCATGGCGTCGCCGAGGTCCAGCGTCACCAATGTGTTTTCGTACATGATCAAGATGGCTAGACAGACCGTCGGGAGGGCCCGCGAGATTCATTTGGGACGTGTGCCAATATAGGACGCGTACCCATGCATGCTTGAAAGAAGAAGGGCGTGCCGAGGTACATGTAGCAGTCCCAAATGCGCAGGACAACTTCGAGCGGCACACACCGTGTGAAGAGTGTAAACGCCCTGTGGCGTCTGTCAGCGCTGTTGATGCATGTCGTCCGACTTGCCGCCTTACCAATCGACCATGTACATGCGTGGGTCGATCCCGATCTCTTGAAAGTGCGCGTGCAGCACAGGCAGTTCGTGTCGGAGCACCGAGTCGTACACGGACAGGTACAGCAGCGTCTACCACGTGGCTAGTGACACGCGCAAGACGAGCGGACAAAGGTATTACGCGCTCTTCTTCGAGCCGATACATGTCGAACAGAAGCCGCGTGCTCATCAGCGACACCATGGCTCGGAACGCTCCAAAGCTGTCCAGGTGCAGGCACAGGATCGCGGCCAGGTAGCTCATGCCTACCGTCGTCCGTCACAAGAATGCTATCGAGTCTTGCGTACCTTGAACATACCCGAGGTCGGGGCGGTAGCACGTGTACGCCTCCAGCACTTCGTACGTTTTCTGCGCTCCCGCCGCGCCATCCTGGAACAGCGGATGGTTGCCAAACGTCCGTGGCATGTCGCGCTGGACGAGCTTGATGTTTCGCTCGTTGTCGGCAATGAGTTTGTCGGCGAGGGCTTGGGCATCGAGCGCCGTAGAACTGTCCCGAGATGGCGGCCCAGCGATGCTGAGATGGGCGGGGAGTTGGAGCAGTGGCGGCGCGTCGTCGTCATGAGCATGGTCGCGTTCGTTGTGCAGTTGCGGTTGTGGCTCCAACACGTGTTGGTGTGGCGCTAGCTTGTGTTCGAGCCGCACCAACTGTCTGCTCTTTTCGTCCGCTTCTTTGACCAGGTCCATCTCGAGCAATACGGCCTTGGCTCTGTGCGGCATGGTTAGCATGCTCCAAGCGATGGAAGGTCGACACCTGGCTCGGCAAATGTCGAAGAGCTGTTCGTTGATTTGAAGACGATTGCCCAGCATGGCAGACCATGCTCGTCCACGTATTTCCTTGGGGATTCCTACCCGCACAACGTTTGTCGAGAAAGGCAACCGCGATGATGTACCGGCAAAACACAACGCCTCGACAAGGTGCGGCGGCACCAGCGCGGCTTGGTCGCCCCAATGGGGAAGGACGTCGTCAAGCCAAATGGCCCCAAATGGCTTTTTCATCTTTGGCATCCGCGCTCGCTTGCGTTCGTCTTTGCGTTCCTTGGTGGCAACGCGCTTGTATCGGGACGTCGTCGTCTGGAATCTCGACGTCGCGGCCGGTGGCTGAAACACGCCCCCTAGAACGCCAGTCGACGACGCGGCCGACGACCTTCCGTCGGTCAGCTGCTTTTCACCGTCTCCATCGTCTGTATGGAGCACTGCACGTCGTTCGTTGAGAGACCTCGGATAGTTGAGGGAAACGTACGTTTGCCTTGCGTGGCCTTGATCGCTTGCGTCCACTTGAGCCGCTCCGCCTCGGTCGGTGCGCTCAAGTACATGTGCTCGCCGTCTCCGTACTTGACATCAAACACAAAGTTGTGGTCGTGCACGACGTAGTTTTGGTCGGGAATCTACCGCACACCGTGACCGACGCAACGATCGCGCAAGACTCGTCCAACCACGTCGAGATCCTTGAGGCTGTACGTGTTCTTGGCCATCTTTCCAGACTTTTTGCTGTACGAGAGCGCGCGCTATACGAGGCACATGGCGCTTGAAACCCCCAACGGTGGGTTGGTTGTCAACGACATCGGTACCTCGGCCAGCACAAAGTACCGAATCTTCCACAGCTTCAAGTGCTTGCTCTAACGACAACGCGTAGGCATCCCGTCGACCCTCGACGGAGTCCCGCTAGGCTGCATCACGCACCTGCTTGTGCAGATATCCCTCCAGCACCACGACCTCCACCATGATGATCGCGTTGTTTGCTCAGCGGTAACGCCCGCGGTATCCGGTCACTTATCCGTCCTGACGGCGGCCAAGTAGCGCCAGGAGAACATGCGAGTGCTACGAGGAGGAGGGTATGCAGGAGGCCGCCGCTTTACAACACCTATTCTACAGCACAACCCTCCGAGCACGGTCATGGAGGGCGGTGACGACGTCTCCATGTAACGCCGCCGCACCGCGATGCGTTACGGGAACCGAAAGCCCACGGGGAGAAACTTGTTGCGTTGGCAATTCCTCATCGTTGTCTTGACCTGCGCGCGCCGTCATGAACACGTGCGCCGACTCACATCGCTCGACACGTACCTGGAGCAAAAAGTCGACGTCCGTGCGGCCAAACCCGTTGAGCACGTTTGAGCAGAAGCCAAGGTGGCCTCCGTAGTACATCAGGTACATCGGGTACACACTAAAGTTATGCCGCCTGGATGGCACGACGACTGCGTTAGGAACGTAGTGATGTGTGTCCCACCGAGCGAGTAGCGTTGATGTGGAGCAGTCGACGAGGAGGATGCGCCTGGTGCTCTGGCTGCGTTCCGGGGCGGGGTCGATCGAGTCGGATGGCGGAAGAGGTGTGATGGCGGCAGGTAGGGAGGTTGCGACGGTGTCGGGGGTAGCTGGTGGCAAAGCAGGTGGGGTGGTGGCCGCGGGAGTGGCTTTGGCGGGTGGCACCTTCGAACCGGCCGTCTTGCCACGTGGAGGACAGCCTTTCGTCGTCAGAGGAATCGGGATCGGCTCCACGTCTGGCGTCGCGGAAATAGCCACCGGGAGAGGTCTACCAGCAATGGCAAGGAGGCATGTCTCCACGAACCTTGATCGTTACCTGGCTGCCGCGAGCTGTGCTTCTTCAACGGCCCAGTCGTGCTCGAATTTGGCCAGCATCTTTTCTGCCGCGACGCAGTCGGACGTGGACAAGGTGGAGCACAGCACGACCACGAGCTAAGTGCATGGCCGGTCATAAGGCGAAAGCCACGGTGGCCGTCGATTCCCGTCTGTCGTACCTGCGTGCTTTTGGCGGTCGCGAGCAGCTGATCGAGGTGCTGCGGGTGGAGGCGCGGCAAGTGCTTGGGAACAACAACCGGTCGCTTGACGTTGGCTCGCGGCACAACGCATGGTTTCGAGATGGGCGAGAAGAAGCTGTGGGATGGAATCGCGCGTTGCCGCTGCCGCTCGTCCGCGACGTTGGCTGTGATGGACGTCGAGAACCTAGCGACATGTCCACTCTCGGCCATGTCGCGCGAACTATCCAGACATGCACGTACGAGTGGAGTCTGTCCACGAGCGCGGCATGTGCATCCATGACCGCCTGTAGTTGAGCGCGGGGTCGCACGCGCGCGGCTTCTCGGCCACTGCTCGACAACCGCGGCAGCGCCCAGTTGTATCGCTGCGCCTTCTTGACAGGGTCGGCCACCTAGACATGGCGCACGAGATAGTGCTACATCGTGCCCGACTCGTAAGACGACGAACTTGGAACGCGAGCTGGCGCTGGACGAGCGTCGGCGCATGAATGTCCAGCACGAGCGACCCGTCCACGTTGTGGCGCAGCACGTTGTCGAGGTACGAGTCGGGTCGCGACGTAGTGCGGCCGACATCAAACACCTGCGCTGGCGTCATGCTCATGGCAAACGAGCACCGACGCACATAGTGGCGGCCGCGCAGAAGTGTGACTTGGATTCGCGCCAGGCTGTGGCACTGGAACGACAGAATCGCGTTCAGGTTGAACTCGACGGGCGATGGCAGCGGCGTGGCGTCGGGGGCCATGTGGTCCCATCGATAGTCCTGCTGACGGGGTCACACTCGTGCACAGAGATGGCGCGCGCCTACATGGGCCATCGTTCCGTCTTCATCGAGCACGACGACCCCCGTCTTGGTCGTCACAACGCGGGGCGCGCCCGATCGATAGTTGGCGAAACCAATGCCGGCAAAGTTGAACGCCGCCAGGACCTGCTTGCCGCTCGTCTCGGTGTCTGTGAGCCACGCGTTAGCATGGGCCATCGCACTCAGCTGCGCACCATCAAAGAACTGGGTGTACTTGCCGCCGTTGACTCGGCTCACGACTGCCAGCACATTCCCCGACGGGTAGCTACCAGGGGAGCGTCAGCCACGAAATAATCTAGCCAAGGTGCCGTTGGAGTACGCACTGGAGCATGCCACATCCATCGGCGTCCAATTCTGCCAGCCCCTCCCTCGTCATAACACTGTCGTCTCAGCGATATCGGCGCTATTTCTGGAACAGGACCGCCACCACAATGAATTCGTCGTATTACTTGTGCAATAACGGCGTCGCCATCGGCGACGATGCGTACAGCATGCCAATGTACGCCGCCATGGCAGCTTCGAATGGATCGTTCGGCGCACGAGAGCCCGGTGGGGCGGCGGCGGCGGGCTCGGCGCCTTCCGTGGGGGATTTGTGGGGCAAGGGGGGCTTGGCGGTGGGAGGTATCGTTGTCGAGTCAGTGGCTCTCGATGGCAGGGCATCGACAAACTGGCTCGACGGCAGCACATCTAGACGAAGGCAAACGTAAGCTCGACACGGCCATAGAAGTAGTTCGCGCTGCCCGTACTTGTCAGGCGCGACGGATTGTGTGGCGAGGCGCGGCCGCGGGCTTTCGACCACATGCATGACCTGCGCTGATTTCGTCGCGCGATAGTGGCTTTCGTCGTTGGGCGAAGAATGGATCGGCCCGGCCGGTGGTCGAGATTCGTCGCGGCCGTTCTGTCGCGATGACTCGAGCCCTTCCAACAAATTGGCAACGCCAGCGTGGTCGTCGAGGCCACAGCAGGCATACCGGTCGGTTTCCGTCTGGTAGTGGAGATCATGGGTGGCGGGGCGGGCTCTGGTAGCCGAGGCAGCGACAAGACCGCGTCCAAATTCGAATGGGGCGAGCCACCAGTGATTCCAACTCGAGGAGGCGACTTGGACGGGGACGTGGGCGACGTGCAGGGGCTAGATGGGGCGCCAGGAAGCCCGTCAGGAGGAAGGTCGGGGACGACGAAGGGAGTCGTCGGCGCAGGCGTGGGCTGCCGCGATTCGTCTTCGGAAAATGGAGCACACTCGCACGTGATGTCGGCATGTGCGGCAGTCGTTTGTAGGCGCAGCAGTCGAACCCCCCCAAACGAACAGAGCCGACTTGTCGATGTTGTATTGCGATACCGTTGAAAGCAACGGCGCTGGAGCTCCACCCCGTCCGTCGCACCCGCGTCGTCGTCATTGTCGTCGCTGCTGCTGCTGCCCGACGAAGTGCAATTGCTGCGATCCCCGCTGCCGTCGACTGGGGGTGTGACCGCGCGCGCTTTCACCTTTCGCATCGAATTCGCTAAGACGACCATCAAAGCCGACTTTTTCAGCGCCCGTCGTGACTTGAGCTTGGCCTCGAGCCGTCGTTGGTACTCGTCGTCTTCGCTCATGTTGAGTTGGTCGCTGTCCATGGCCCATGCAGCCATCAGCGCGCGGATGCTCTCTTCGTCTGGAACGCCATCCTCTTGTCCATCCCCGGCAAACATCTCTTCCGTTTGAACTACCCTGTCGCTGCCTCCTCCTCCTCCTTCGTCCACTTCTTTGTTCAAAGCCATCGAAGCAACATTACCGCCTGCAGCAGCATCCACCACCTGAACGGAACCTGCCCCACTCACGGCGGCGTCCGCGCTCGAGGAAGCATCCAACGACGGCGCGAAGGATCTTGCGATCAAGACGCTGCTTTTCCGGCGGCGAACACTAAGGCGTTGTGGCGTCGAACTTGCCGCCGACGATACGTCCATGCCCCCTCGGGACAGAGCGCTGCCCGCCTCGTCGCTTCGAAGCGTACCATCGACTTGGATCTCTGGCGAAGGCTTGTCGTGGTCATCGGCGGTCCCCCCCGGCTCGGTGTCGACGCAAGCAATGTCCATCCTGTTTTGCATGTCCAAGAGCCGCTTCTCGTCAGCGAGAGAAGTGACCAGGGAGCCAAGGATGCTGCCTTTCCGCCCCGACACTCGCACAGGTGAGCTTTTGAGCGCCGGCGGTGAGACGTGCGTCGTCAGGCGAGGCGGCTCCGCTTCCTGCTGCGTCTTGGGGGCTTCAGGCATTTGCGGCTGTATTGTCTGCGCAGGCGGTGCAGGGTCCAGTGCGGCATAGGTCGGGCGCTTTCGTGTGGACGTCGTTGACGGCTTGTCGGGGGTTTTCGGCTTGTTTAAGGGGGGATGGGCGAGTGGTTTGTCGAGTTGGGCGGGGGGCGGGCTCTGCGACTTGCCCTCGACTGCGGTGGCAGACGGTGGGCTCGGTCGCCGTGGCGCAGACTCGAGCTCGGGGGTCTTGTTCCGTGGCGTTGGGGTGGACTCGGGGGTGTTGTTCCGTGGCGAGGCCATCGCCCGATGCGAGTTCGAGGGCGCTTTTGTCTTGGCCATGGTGACCTTGGTCGACGCCGGCTTCTTCCGCCGCCGTAGCTCTTCCACGAGCACCATCATCTTGGCCTTGGTGGCCTTGTACGCGCGCCACTTGAGCTGGAGCTTGACGGCGCACCGGTTTTCGAGCAGCTTTCGTTTTTGCATGGCGATCGCAACGTGTCGAATCGCGTCGTCCACTTTAAATGTCGCCACGTGCTGGGCGAGGTGCATGACATGGGTCAACCGCATCTGCCGTGCCGCCTAACCACGGCGATCAGGCATCGCCGCCGCCGCAGCCGTGACCGCACCTCGCTCTGCTTGGCAAGATCGAGCGTCACGGTGACCGCCTTGGCTTCGTCCGTGAACAACTTGAGCGTCTGCGTCTTGACGAGAGGCGTGTCGATGTCTTTGTAAAACGTGTTGCCAAACAATCGAAACTCCTCGACGCGCTTGCTCCAGTGGCTTGTCGGTGGCCCGTTCTGGACGTTGCGGCGGATGATCCGCGCGGCAGCCTTTCGCCGCACAAGGCGCTCCTGTGCGCGTCCACCCCGGACGCGTTTACGGCCTACTCGAGACATGGGGCCGCCGTACCTTGCGGGCAAACTCCGCGCCTGCTTCCATGTCGTCGAAAGAGATTTGCTCGATGGGATGGCCGCCGTCGTCGTTGTCGTCACTGCTGTCCGAATCCAGCACGCCGTCCCGCTCCCACGACGCGATCAGCGCCTTGGCGTCGACGCCAGCTTCGGCCAGGCACGTGTACGAGTGCTGTAGCCATGACAGTTTGTCCACCATGCGTCCGAGAGGGTCCCGCCTCGGATCGGTGCACGGGATGAACGCCGTCAGTATCAAGTCGACTTCGTCGACCCAGTTGAGCACAAACCTACGACAAACGCGAGATGGATCGCTGCGTCCTTGTCTCGTCAAGGTACGTACTCCTTGTCGTCATGGCTGAATTCGGTCGAAAACGGTGCGGTAGCCACCACGGCCGACACCCGCGCCACGATCGCTTCGATCCGCGTTCGGTTCGCCGACTCCAGCAAGACCGCGTGGTGCCGCTGTTGCGTGGACTGGCGGCCCGATCGGCGGAGGCTTCGCGACGTGAGCTTGGCTTCCGTCGACGTTGTTTTCGTATTGCGCTTGCGTGCAAGCTCGAGGCGAATCAAGTCCTCTTGCTACAACGACCACGTGCTGTCAGCCACGAGTCTGCCGTCCATGCCATCCACGAACGATCGCGACTGCTCCATCGTCACAACCGTACCCGTTGGTCGGCAGGGATGGCCCCGGTGCCGCCCCCTCCTGCCTGGCTGCGCCTACCACATCGTTACGAGCGCCCGAGACAGCCGAACCACTACCGATAGCAGGCGAGCATGACGCGTGAGTTGGGATTCGGTACACAGGCCCGCCTCAACATGAAACCGCCATGTCACGACTGTAGGAGTTTCGTGCCGTTTCACCCACACCTTGGCTGGAGCGTTCAAAGCGTCCGGTCGCAACATGGAGGCGGCAACGTCCGATGTGCGGGTGGAAGGCGCCATACACCCTGGCAAGTCGTCCAGTCCCATGAGGCGGCTTCATGAACGAAAGCTGCTGCAGCACCATGTTCGCCAGCAGCAACAAATGGACGGCGTCCACCAACCCAACCAACTGTACAAAGCGTCGTCGGCCAAAACGCGTCACTCGAGCAAAGTCGCTCCTGTCTCGAGCCCGTCCTCCCTGCATGTACACCCTGTCGACACTGGCGACGACAATGGCGGTGGTGCCACCGCAGACGAGTGCATGACCAGGACACATGGAGAAAGTGTTGTTCAGGCCACGCTGTACAAGTGGGCCGCCGTGCTCGACTCAACCGACCGCAACGACACCCAAAGGTATTCCCGTGCGTCCATGCTGCCAGCGGCGTTCCTCATCTCTGTCATTGTCCGTGTTCAGCGAAAACCAAGCGGACTCCCTGTACGAGCAGTTTGCCGAGACTGCGACCGAGTTGTGTTTGCAAACCAGAACTGCCATCGCATTAGACCTTGTCTCCGAGGTAAGCGTGGCGCTCGCTACGACTGCACTCATGCGTGATGGCGGTAGATGATGCACGCGATGCTGCCATCGTCGTCAGCGATTGCAGACGCCGTACTGAACACGCTGTTCCAAGCCGTTTACAGCTCGTACGACCCCGACGCTGACTGGCGCGATCGCTCTCTCCACGCAAACAGGTCGACAGCGCCACCCGTCGGTCTTTCCGCCGCGGCAGGTCCTCGATCGCCCAACGCCATGCCATTGCCAACATCTTCCATGCCCGACGTTCCCTCTAGCCATGTCTCTCCTTCGCACGCGTCCGATGCTCCGCTCGACGTGCTGGATCTGGCTGCCATGGCGCAACGATGGAACGATCTAGTCATGACTCGTCATCCCAACTCGGAGAGTGTCGTGGCATGCGTGGACATGCTGCCTTCAGATATCCAGCAGGACTTGGCGCAAGTTCTAGCGTCGAGATGGTTGCCCGATGCACCGTCGATCCGACGGCAGCGGCAAGACACAGCCAGCACGATTCGAAACAACGATGGAGACAGCGACGATGACGCGTGGGGAAGCCAGGACGAAGTCGACGAAGTGCCGAGCCATGTGCAGACGTCGTGGACGAGTGAAGGCGAGGCAGACCAAGTTGTTGAGGACGGCGGCGGCGCGGATGGCAGCGACATCGACGGGACGAGTGACGTGATGGAAATCCTCTTGGACGTGTACAGACTCCTCCTCATCAACAACCCACGAGCCCAGCGACAGGCAAGGCATCGACTGCAGTCGGTGCTACTTCCGCTGGTCGGACAGTTTGACATGCGGGGGAGTGACCTGTCCGAGCTCACCGGGACCGGCGCCGACGACGTCTTACGCCGCCTCGTCGAGCAGCTCGTCGAGGACGACCCCATCGCTCTCGTCGACGTGGGGCTCACGTAGGCGCGGCGAAGCCATGCTGTGTGTGGCGCGGAGTGGTCAGGAACACATATTTATTGACAAAGTGGCACGTAATTTATCCAGGGGTTTTGCCCACGTCATGTGGACGCCAGCGCTAAGCGACTCGCTGGCGCTTCTTCTTGGACGCGTCGGTTGGGTGGGAAATGCACCGACGGCACGTGCACGTAAACCCGTAGCGCGTGTGCAGCTCGTCTTGCCGGGTCTTGAACGGCGCGGTCGCGTCGAGATACGAAATGGTGAGCTCGTCGCCAGGGCCGAGCGGCCGCAGCGCAAACACAGTGATCTGGGCTGTGTCGTCAGTGTACGCCAGCGCGCACGACGGGTCGCACGAATGGTTGAGCATGGAGAAGCGAGGGAAGAGCGCAAGCCCGCCGAGGTCGGGCAGGACGCTGGATGAAAAGCACAGCGTCGCCGCGTCGCTGTTGGACGAGTCCTGGGGCCACACAAACTCGATCGTGTCTCCGTCTTCACTGTCGTCGTCCGGCTCGTCATCGCCATGCTCTTGCGAGCCTTCGTCACCGCTGGTCTCGTCCTCGCACAGTTTGTTCAGCGCAGCCTCCACGAGCGTCGACGCGCGGGCGACAAGGACGGTCTTGATCGATGGGTCGTCTTCACACGCAGCAAAGTACCGCGAGATCGGAGACGGCACTTGGACACCTACCGCGTTGGCTTGAACAATGCCAACGAAGCGCTCAAACATGTCGAGCGTCATGCGGTCGTGGAAGTACTGCACTGCACCCGCCGGCTCGGAGGACGACGACGGCGCGGTGAAAATCGCCATGACGTTCTGGAAGGCTGCTTTCAGGACCTTCACGTTGAGCGGTGGCGTGGCACGAGCGACGCATAGGTTCAAAATGTCGTGCACGGCATCTTCCCAGTACAACGTTGTCTGCATCGAGAGGCGGTGGAGAACGATCGCCATGAGGGTCGCCACGAGAAGGATGTGATCCGAGTCGAGACCTGGACCCGACAATGCTTCGAATGATTGCGATGGGGTGAAAACGTGCGTCGGTTGCACGTGCAGGATGTCGCGGCATGCCTGCGAGCACACGATGGACGGAGCGGCCGCAGACGGATACAACGTCATGTACGCCGGGACGACAGGCGATGGAAGGTTGGGAAGCGAGAGGTCAGTCTCCATGGTTGGAAGCAGTGTCATGTCTTCATTCGACCTTACATGCGAGTCCACGTTGACCTGTTCGGCAAGCACGAGCAAGTGCAGCTGGATCGACCCGACGAACCGTTTGCAAACTGCACACGACATCCGCGGCGCGTCCATCGAGGCCACAGCGATGGGGTCGTCCCGCAGAACGACTGCATTCTCTTCGACCGCCTCAAGCGTATACAGCCCTCGGCCTTTCACAGCATCAACGCGAACTTCCAGCAGCGGCTGCGCGATCATGCCTCGATTCGACCCATCGCCATTGACTCGCATGCCCATTGGTATCCGAAAATCCGGAAAACGGTGAACACCCAGCATTTGATTGGGTGGGGAGGAGGGATGATGCGGACAGGCGACAGAGCATACTTGAATGTAGTGCAATGTTTTCGCTATTGAATCGCCGCCGATGTCGAATATATTGGGCGATGTGGTGGGAGAGCCTCGTGGAAGCTGGGAAATGTGCAACATATCCGCTATCGTTTGGTCGTGGAGGTCCAGTCGTCGTCGTCGACTAGAGGCAAGATCGAGTCGCCACCGACACCGCACCAGCATGATGTCGACCGCCGCCGCCGCCGCGATTCCCCACCTGAACACGGCGAACTTTGATGCGTGGCTGAACCAGCTCGACGCGTTTCTCTTTGATTGCGACGGAGGTACGACGAATCGTTGTTGCCAGTCACGTGAGACGACGAATGTCGGTAGTGTTGTGGCGTGGGGATGCAGCGATCGTCGGCGCGAAAGAAGCCATCGCGCTACTCCGTGCACGTGGAAAGAAAGTTGTCTTCGTGGTATGCTTGCGTACACTCGTCCTGGAGTCCTCCCGACGCACTGCCGTGTGTGTAGACCAACAACTCGACCAAATCGCGCGACACTTACGTCAAGAAGCTCGGTGCGATGGCCATCCTTGCTCGTTCGGTATCTTATGGTGCTTTTGAACGTAGAGAGCCAAGGAATCCCTGCCGTCGTCGATGACATTGTCACGTACACTCGAACCACCATCCCTCGTCGCACTCACCTGGCTGCAGATCTGCCTCGGCGTGTGCTGCGTACCTGAAGAAGACAAGTGTCCAAGGCAAGGTCTATGTCGTTGGCGAAGTGAGTTGCATCCTTCTCGCATGATACATGCAGATGCGGGACATATGGGTAGGCTGGCCTGGCCACGGAAGTGTCTGCGCAAGGCTTTGAGAACTTTGGTCTGGCCGACAACGGCAAGACATCGCTGCCGCATCCATTCAAGGTCGACCCGGCGGTTGGCGCCGTCGTCATTGGGCTCGATCGGTACACGATCGTTGTTTCCAACGTGCGAGCTCACGGGTGGTCGACTGTAGTGGCATCTCGTACTACAAGCTATCGTATGCCGCGACATGCATCTTGCAGAACCGTGGCTGCAAGTTCTTCGCGACCAACAAGTGTGCCCAGTGTTGATGAGGCGCCTCGTTCTCACGTGTGCGTGGGCTAGTGACCCGACATTCCCCACGGACGGCGCGATTCTTCCCGGCGGTGGTGCATGTGTGGCGGCGTTGCAGACGGCGGTTGGCCGCGAACCAGACGCCATCATCGGAAAACCCAACCAAGCGCTCCTTCAAACGATCTTGTCGACGCATTCCCTCGATCCGTCGCGCACATGCATGGTACACGTGGTCGATGGTACCATTGATCTGCTGGATGACGACGTCGGTAGGTGGGCGATCGCTTGTCAACGGACATTGAGTTCGGTCGCCGAGGAGGCCTACACACGCTGCTCGTCATGTCGGGCTGCACGACCTACGAAGAGAAAGCCGCAATTGCCGACGAACATCAACGACCCGACTACTACGTCGAGGACGTGGACGTGCTCAACGCGCTCGCTAAGTAGACTGCCCAGATACCTTGCTTCCAGCAGCTCACTCCGCTCTCTCCAATGCGCTCGTTCTCTCCCATGCGCTCGTTGAACACGATTCCGTGCATTTTGTCGAGTTTGAGAGAATTTGGGTTATCCGGTTTTGTCCGGATACTTCGTCACACGCACGGCGACGCAAGGATGGCCAGGCAGTCGGCGGCAGATGTGGCTGCGATCGAGGTAGCAAGGGCGCTGATGGTGCAGACGGCTGACTACATGTACATAGAGGCAAGTTTTGGAATGCGACATGGAACGGATCGCGTTGGACCTGAAGTGCATCGAGTTGCAGCGTTCTCTGGAAGCATTGCGGCGGCGCCATCGTCGGCGTGTGGTGGGGCGGGCGGCGACAACACTTGCTGAGGCCTTGGATCGGACGGTGGCGGAACAAAAGAAAGTCGAGCGAGTAGAGCGCGAACGCCTTCGCGTGGAACGAGAACATCAAGTCGAGCTGGCGCGACAAGCAAAGCAGCGGGAGACCGAACGTAGACGGATCGCAGAACAACACAAGATGGCCGAAGAAGAAGCTGCAAAGAAACGGCAAATGGAGCTTGAGATGGAAGAGCGGCGGCGCGCTGTGTTGGAACAGGCGGCGAAAGAACAGCACGATGACGTCGTGCGTCAAGCGGAAGCCGACGAGCGACGAATGCGGCAGAAAGCAGCACAACAAGAGCGGAGAATCGCTGGAACAATGAAAGCACCCGCCAAAGCAGCAGTACCAGAAGAAGCTGCAGCATTTGTCCAGCGCACAGCAGACGATAGGAAGGCGGCGAAACAGCGGGAAATGCCGCATGACGTCGACACTTCACTCGAGCCGGCGCGTCCTGCGACCCCTGCGCCGTCAGTTTCTAAGCCAGCACGTGCGACAAAGCCAAGCGGTGCGAAAAAGAGAAAACAGCAAAAAAGCAGCAAGGACGACCTTGACGACGGGGGTGGCGCGCCAATCAACGCACCAAGCGCTGCGAAAAAGCAAAGAGTCGCGACCGAATCCGACCCCGACAAACGAGCGACCGAATCCGACCCCGTCAAACGAGCGACCGCCACGACGAAGTCCGCATCAGTGGATGCTGCGATGGAGGACGAGCATGCGTCGGATTCTGTGGGATTCAGTGAAGCCAAGGCAATCCAACCACAAAAGCCCCGGAAAGGCAAGAAGAAGAACATGATGAAGGAGCTTGCAGCGCAAGAAAAACAGCGGAGAAAGGAGGCTGCGCGGAAAGAAAAGCTGGAAAAGTACGCACTAGCAGTCAAGAAGAAGCAGGACGAGCTTGCAGCCAAACGGGCCAAAGCGGCTGCGAAGCCAGTCGTCCAGTCGCGACCGACGCATGGCGACGACACCTCGGTGATAGCCAAGCCTAAAGCAAAAAGCAGCAAGACAGCCCAGCCCGCCGCAGAGAAACAGCAGAGCGCACCCCAGCCCATTGCATTGGGCGAAGGCGCATCGTCCGACGATGAGCCATCAGGACTCAGTCTCTTCGACCGCATGGCGCAAAAGATGCGGCAGCAGATTCTCGCCAAGGAAGGCGGGGCGGCAAAGGCGCCAGCCCCGCCAAAACACGTGCCGGCCAAACCCACTCCTTCGCCAAACGATGCACCACCCAAGCGATCGATTCTATCGTCTATTTTCAGTGTCCCGTTGCTAAAAAAGCCTTAATGCAAGCCGTCGCGGAACTCCCAAGCGCCGGGTCTTGACAGGGCAGCGCCGCCACCCACCGCGATGGCTCGCCTCGTCCTTCCAACTAAGGCACTGCTGACGGCTCCAAGCCCCGCCGGTCGTCAACTCGAACACTGCCGTCGTTCGCCGATCCAACAGATTCGTGTGCCGTCCGTGCCATTCTACCCACTGGTGACGTTGTCACCAACGTAGCCAGCAGCGGCCGCAGCATGTGCACCGGCACGCCATTTCGCGGCATGACACGATGTAGAGTCGAGAGGACGTGTCCATTGGGAATGTGCTTTGGCTTGAGCCCCACGACGGCCACTAGTTCGTCCGTCATGACGTGGTGGTGGCGCGCAACGAATTGGAGAAGCTGCCAGAACCACGCGGGCTGGACGGCACGAGGCAGCGTCGGGAATAGCGCTTTTGCACGCGCGTACAGTTGAAAGCGCAGCAGCCACTGCAGCGCGTCCACGTAGGCATGCGATGCGCACAACGCGTTTGTGTACGCGAGCACCATGGCGTCGACGTTGGTTGGTTGCAGGAGCAAGTGGAGGCGCATGGGGGGGAGCGCCGCCAGCGCGCGGTCGGCATGGGGTCGGACGAGCCGGACGACGCCATTCAACGTGAACACGCGGGGACATGCCGATGCAATCGAGTGAATAAAGTGGTCCAACGCCGCCGCGGGGCGGTGCTGAAACGTGAGCCGCGCGACCCATTCAAAGTATGCCGGGTGGCGCACGCTTTCAAGCGCCGTGACACGTTCGTCATGGAAAAGCACGTGGCTCGGGCGCGTCGACGCGTCGGGTGTGTGCATGTCGAGCACGTGCTCGAGCTGCGTCAAGAGCTGCGAGCCGTACGTGAGCGACGTCATGAGGGAGGCCAGGTGCAAACTCGATTTCTCGAGCAGGTTGCGGGTCGGCAGCGGATTCGTGGCGCGGGCCGATGCCTCACGATGCTCGGTAGCGTCCAAGTACGACATGTCCTGGAGGATTGTCGCGCGGCGGTGGCGCACGTCTAGCCACGCACGCAGGTGGTCGTACGTTTCGTAGTTAAGGGGAGTCGCTCGCGGATCGCCCTTGGGAGATGCCGCCGCTTGGACGTCCGTGTGGAGGAGCTGATGCAGGCGATACAGCAACGCGTGGAGATCTTCCTCCAACGAAGCGGGGACGGTGTGGTCGGCTAGGAGCGATAGCATCCAGGCGGGGCTTTCCGCGGCGGCGTCAAACACGCGCTTCGCCTTGTCCTGGGTCTCCCTGGTCGTGCCGTGGGGATATCGTAGCACTTGGAGTGCCATGGCCGCCTGGTCGAACTGCAAGCTTGGCCCAAAGTCGTCGAGATGACGCATCGCCGCGGCTGCACAGGCACCTATCGAGGCACGGGAGCCCGCAGAAGTCGCGACGCTCTGCGCATACTGCTTGGCGCTGGGGACTTTCAGTCGCCACACGCCATTCCAACTCCAGAGACCGACGCCGGTACTTGTCCAAAAGGATGCGGCGGCATCTGGGGCGGCCACCTTGGCCACTTGTGCGCCAGTATGCACGTCAAATACAAAGCAGAAGCGGCTAGTCAGCGCAAGGACGAATTGGCGGTGGCTCGCAATCTCGCGAATCGCGCCATCCTCGTCGTCTTGCGGAAGTGGAAGGCTGTACGGCAAACGCAGCACGACGAGCTCACCATGGCGCTCTTGGCAAGTCCACACTTGACCAGTCACGGGGTCCATCGTCACGAGCGCGCCGGTAGTTGTGTGAACGCATCGAAGTAGCAGCACGTCCGTGGGGTCCGTCGGGCGGGCCATCGAGTCTTGCGCACACGTGGATCGATTCAAGACCGTGTGCAAGCAACCAGGGGACGTCGCGCTGCGCAGAAAGATGTCGTTGGCAGAGGTGACCATCCAAAGGCCAACGTGCGAGCCACGCATCCACTCAATCACCGCGTTGGCCTTGGCAGGCGGCAGAACCGACACGAGAGGACCGACTACGATGCGCGTCGGGTGTGTGGCCAACGTTGGCGCCGTGTCAAAGCTAACTAGGCGAGACATGATGTCGCTGGCCGCGTCGGGGGTGGAGCGGAACACGACGCCATGGGACCCACCGCACGCGGCGTAGCTGTCGATCGATCCAATTCGACTAGTGGAGCCCTCGGTCGCCACGTTGAAGCAGTTTAGATACGTCCATTGGAGCCTGTCATGACTCCACTCCCATGCGTACGCGCCACCGTCTTCTCGCGTGATCACGCATCGCAGCGGATGCGCTTTCTGTGGTTGCATCGACTTCTTTTCGTGGGGATGTCCCCCCTGATACGAGCGAAGGAATGCGACGTGGGTAACTGGGCTCTCGTGGCGGCTGATTAGCATGTCGGTGTTGGCCGAGCGACATGTCTCGTGCTTCGATCGGAGTTCGGACGATGGTGGGCGGCACAGCGCTTTGATCAGGTCGACCTGGAATGCCTGGTCGAACTTTTGCTCGGGGATTGCATCCAACACAACGACGAGGGAGTAGTTGGAAACAGTGTCCGAGTACCGGAACGTGAGCGCGATGTGCCCGGCAGTCACCGTGCACGATGACAGCTCCAGGTTGATGGCAACCAAGTCAGGGAGAAGCGCCGTGACGCTGCCGCGACTGGCCGGCCAGCTAAAGTCCTTGGTGAGGCCCCACACATCGGACGCACCAACGGGGTTGTTCAAGCAAGTAGCTCCCCTTTGCCGCGGACTTGAGATGGGCGATGTCACCGCCAGGACGTGCTCCATGGCACTCTCGAATGTCGTCGTGCCGGATACCACCGTCTCCTCCGGATAACGATGGCGCATGTAGAACGCTGGTCGTTTGCAGAGTGCATGTCTTCCGTATTTCTTTTCTCCGAAGAGACAATTGGTAACGGTTCGTCCTCTTTCCATGTTTTTCGCGGCCGGCCTCTACCAAAAGGATACATACCTTTCAAGGTGAGAGGGTGGTATCATAGATGAATGCACCCAGTGTTGGAAGAGCCGCAAGTGTATATCCAGGAAGTCACGTCTTTTGACATCCATGACTTGGTTGTCACGAAGTGTGGCCTTGATGAGTGGCGCGGCCGTACCAACTTGTAGTGTGAAGAATTGCAAATTAGCAATAATATGAGAATATAGAATACAGGCGCAGTCAAATTATCAAAATATGAGAATATTAAACAATCCGTCCATCTTTTAATCACTTTCGCATAGAAAATATATATTTATATTTGGCGCCTTACATCGATGTCAAAATTACCAGATATGCTATTCTATAAGCGATATACGATGCATTGTATATTATTTTCGGAGATAACGAATACGGCATTTCCCATGACCAGGTTTACGAAGCGAACGACGAAGTGCGCCATCCCTCCATTACCAGCGAGCTGAGTATGGCGGCTGCACGGGGCGGGATCCTGCCGGACGGTGCGACTACGTACTGCTGGGCGTCGAATGCGTCAACCACTGCTGCGCAGGTGGACGCGGCATCGTTCGGTGCGTTGGGGATGGGGAATGGTGTCACGTGCCCTGTGTCGGTGTCGTTCAACTTGAATCGAACGTACGCCGCAGGTGCTACACCCACGATCTCATGGGCGATGCTGATGCTCGATCCGTCCGCTTCGACGTCTTGGGCGCCGTTCGCGCTGAACAATATCACACAGAACGTCACGACGTCGCAACTGTTTTACTGTCCGACCGACACCAACAACGGTGACGACACGTGCTTGCCATTCCGCAGCGCTGCCAAGCCGCTGTCGTCGCCAATCTTTGCCCAGTCGTTCCAGCAACAGTATGTTTCGTTTTCCAGCACCGTGGAAATGCCGTCGGCTCCTGGCAAGTACATTGTCTTCGCTTCGACAACGCTGCCCGCTTCACAGTCCACGATCACGGCCAACCGACTTGACATTGCGCTCTTCACATCCATCACAATCACCCAAACAGTCCATCGAGATGACGACTCGCCCCCGTCCAGCGTTTCTCACACAGCGCTGTACGTTGGTCTTGGCGTCGGCGCAGCAGTTCTTGTCATTGGCCTCGTCTCGTGGTGCTGGTATACACGAACACGACTGCGACAGCTCGAAGTCGAGCTACATCGCGCCACGTTTGTCGCCAACACATTGCCACGATCGTTCGTCCACGGGCGCAGCGTGAGCGGTCGCCACCACCCCACGCCGCGGTCGCACCTGGATGCACACGGGCGCCCTTCTTCATTGCCACAGCACAGCTTCAGCTTCCACCATGGCGTTCGCATGTCGGAGGAGAGCTCTCGCCGGTACCTCCGTAGCAGCGCCGCGTTGGATCCGTCGCCCCGTCGACTGCACATCCAGGACGGTGCCGCCGACTACATCTTGAATGCGCGGTTGTCGTCGTCCGAGTACTTGTTCGCTCCACAAGAGCACCACCACGTGGAAGGGTCCCATGCGCATCATCGGCGGTACCTCCCCAGGAATTCGGACCATATCACGCGACCCACGGCGTTCTTTTCCGAAGAGGAAGATGCAGTTGGCAACATGCCAACGTACCATCCGTACTGGAGACAGCCCACAACACCGTCCGACACGTCGACCGAGTACACGACCCAGCCGCAGTTCGTCAAGTAGAGCTAGCGGGTCTTTTCAATGAAAGAGCTTGCCCTTCCTTGACGTTATCGTGCCGTGCATCCACTGGCAATGTCCCAGTTCATGGCACGAGGCCAGCAAGGGTTGCAGTCGTGCACTGGCGGTGGCGAAGGGAATGTGACGATGTGTCTGTGATGATACATGTTAACACACTTCATGGAGCCGCCACCTGGGCTTGTCCATTCCGCCATGGAGTGTCGGCGCCAACGAAGTCCAAAACTCACGCCTGGACGCTCGACGTGGCGCCCATCGTTACGCAAAGTTGACGTCGTCGTGACCAAAAACAGAGCGGTGTCGACAACGCACTTCAGCCCACGACGCTTCAGCAGGACAGTATACGTGCAATGAACTCTTTTCATGCCACCGCACGAGCTGTACGAAGCCACGGCCATGAGTTCGATTGTTGTCCGCCGGTCGCGTCGCCACGTCGGCTGCAGTTCGGCGGTTTCATCCGGATATGACATTTATCCGGATAATCGGCGAAACGCGTCGCGACGCTCGATGCGGCCGCGATGAAACCTGGATCACGTAAGGCCGTGGGACGCAATGGAATGGATCATGAGGTGACGACGGCGCATAGGAAATGGGAAGCATCGACAGTCCTCGTTGAATCAAAGCAGCGGCGCTGTCGCATCTGCCCGGGATGTGTCGAAATGCGATGACCCCATGACCAGCTATGCCCACCGTATCGAAGTTGCGTTAGATGCATCGTCCTTGCAGCCGGCGTTCTTGAAGGTGGAGAACATTAGGTATGTCAAATGCTGCTCCTTTGGATGCCTCTCCCCGACTTGGCCTGCCATGTAAGCAGTGGGTTGGTTGTAGCTGCCAGCTCGTACAACGAAGACTCCTCGGTCCAACACGGTACTGGTTCAGAAGCATCAAACATGACAAAACGACGTCTGTCGCGTCCAAGAAATGGGTCGTGTCGCTCTACGAGATCCCGTGGCGCAAAACCATCGTCGAACGGGCGCAAACGAGCGACCGCCTCCTCTTCCCTGACAGGTCGCACAAGACCGATTTGTTTCCGAATCTCAAGCCCGTCGTGGTGGGAACGTTCGAGACAGAACGGGCAGCGATGCTCGCGTGTGAAGCGGCGTGGAAGGGCAGAGACCGTACAAATCCCGTGTCCATCGCGAACGACGCGTCGGAGCCGTTGCCGCCGTTTTGGAACACCCACCTGCACATCACAGTCATCTCGGATGCATTCCACCGCAAATCGCACACGGAGCGGATGTGCATGGTGCTGGAGGTCCTCTTGGCCTTGTCCGACCCGCTGCTGCAGTCGTCCAGCCCACAGCCCGCCGCCCTGGCGCCAGAGACTTCGACAACCTCCCGTCATTGCCCGCTGCTGAAATTTGGCACCGTCGGCCCCCAAGTCAGCCGGTTACCCCACTTGCGCCATCTAAACTGCAACGTTGTGCTGGTGCTCAAGACGACGCACCAGTTTCGACCGGTCCAAACTGTGGACAGCTTGACCAAGTTGCCACTGACGGAGCGTTTTGGGCTGTCGCACGGCCTCGCTAGCGCGCTTGGGATTGCGCCCGTGGCAAAAACCACAACCAAAGATGTCAAGCGGCTCGTCATGCATCCCGACGGCGACCCGTCCTCAACACGACTTCCCCATTTTTATCACGGCCTCCCCGCCGAACTCAAAGCCATGATTGCTCAACAGCAGAACGCCCAGCGCGCTTCGATCGCCGCCCTTGACAAGCTCTCCACGTACGTCGCGCGGCACTTCATTCGACCGTCCGATCCATCCTCCGACGGTCGTAGCCAACTCCAACACAACTCGGAGGCCACGGTCGTGAAGAAATTTGAAAAGCGCAGAGTCGAATGCACGCGAGCGGCCATCATGCTCCAGCGCGTGTACCGCCTGTACAACGTGGTACGGTCGATGGCGGCGTCGTTCGACACCTCACGATTCAAAGGGCCGAGTGTTGCGGCGGCTCTTGGCAGCCCACCGCCATGCGCTGACGATCCAGCGGTGCTATCGCGGGTACGTCGCGCGCGTGTTTGTTCACGAGTACTCTATCGTGGTGTCGCTCGCGTCGACGCATATTCAAGCCGTGTTTCGATCGCACGTGAGTCGGGAGCGGACGAAAGCGCTTCGACAGCGCATGACGGCCGCGGTTGTCCATGTGCAGCGCGTGTTTCGGGGGCACCAAGCCAGGAAGCTTGTGTTCTGGATACGATTCCACGTGGCGAGCGCGATCCAGATCCAGCGCGTCGCGCGGGGCATGTTTGGCCGACATGTATGCACGTGTTTGTCGAGGAGTGCACCTCACGGCGTTTGGTGTGTGTGCAGCGCGCGGCCATGTATCGGCGAGCGCGATTCAAACGCATGGTGGTCGTGCCCGCCGCCAAGCGGATCCAGCGCATCTACCGTGGCCATGTGGGTCGACGGCGGTTCCGTCGCATCCAACACGACCGGTTTGTCGACACGATCCTAGCGCCCGCCGCCATGGCCATCCAGCGCGTCGCGCGAGGGTACTTGGGGCGCCAAGTGGCCATGCGATGTCGGCGCCAACTCGTCGCGGCGCTCGTGATTCAGGACGGGTTCCGAAAGTTCCGGGCGCGGTGTCGATGGGCGTTTGTGTGGCAGGTACGGCGGTCGATCATCCCGATCGTTTGCGACTCGGACGTGGCGTAGGTTCGATTTCAAAATCGCATGGCATCGCGGATTGGAGCTGCGGGGCGAGGGTACTTGGCCAGACAAGTGTACAAGCGGGAGCTGCGCAGAGTACGCGTCCGAACGGTGTACGTCCCAGCCGCGCGGACAATTCAGCGCGTGTACCGAGGATTTGTCGTGCGAAAGAATCTCGAGCACGTCCGCGACAAAATCGAAGCGGCGACCGTCCTGCAGGTACTCTCCCTCACGACGCCGCTGGTTTACGTGTGCCTCGTCGATGGCGACTTGGTAGTTCTTTTGGCGAAAACACCAACGAGAGGCCAAGGAACGGGCGGTGTGGAGCGGCATGATCGAGCAAACCAGGCGCGCGGCTGCTTTGACGCTGCAGTGCTTTGTCCGGTGCTTCCTCGCCCGTCAGTGCACGCAAGCGCTGCGGCTCGAGCAGCGGGGACGCCATGGGCACGCCGCTGTCGTCGTGCAGGCAGCGTGGCGGAGCTACTTTCACCGCAACAAGATCAAGTCGATGCGCGAGCTCATGGCAATCGAAGTCTTTGCGCGAAAATTCGCCAGTCTCAAGGTAGTGTCGATGAAACAACGGCGGCGCGTGACCCAAACAACGTTGCCAGGACAACCTGGATATGGTCCACTACGACATGGTCGATGCCAACGGCGACATTGCTCACATCACCAAGCACCGGAAGAAATCGCTCCAGCACATCCACGACCTCAAGCAAATGCGGGTAGTCGCGTGTGTGGCTATGGTGGTGGTGGCTGTCATGGTGCCACGTGCTAGTTGGACTGGGAGCTCCGCGTGCCCGTGCTGGACAAGGAGCTGGCGCAAATGACGCCGCAGGACATGGAGCGCGGATGGCAAGACGCGTTTGAGACCGAGAAGCGTGTCATTCACTTTTCCATGCTCCTCAGCGCCGAAGACATGTTGAGCAAAAAGCAGCAGGTCCGGGCGGTGTTCGTCGATGCCTTGTGACATCCGTTGGCGGTAGATTCGCGAGTACGATGCCGACATTGCGTCCCTCGAGGCCGAGCGCGAAGATTTGGAACGGGACGCGGACGAGTTGTTGCTAGAAGAGACGACGCTCCTGGAGACGTACCGACGCGTCGAGCTGCACCGGGCGTCCGACCAGTACACACACCACACCAACGCGAGCGTCCGTCGCCAGCGGTTGCGATGGAAAGTCCGAACGAATCGAACCAACGTCGTTCGTCGGGAAACGGCGGCAGCACGTGCCGCCGTCGCAGCCTCGCTGGCGCAACCTCCGACGTGTGTGTCGTTTGCTGGCAAGATGGCCAGCCTCCGCGAGACAGACAAACTGGTTCGCCAGCACGAAGCCGCAACGAACGCGGCCAAGACGGCTGCGTTGGTCCATGGCGGCTGCCGCAACCCGCACTTGCTGTCCGTGGCAGATGCAGTCGTGGCCAAAGCCCACAAGATCCTCTCGTCGGGCAGTTTGGCCATGCATTTGGATCGAACTGACGTGCGAGACGAAGACGGAGCGATGTGCCACACATGCGGGCACGTGCAATGCATGTGCCACATGGGCTCGCCCGAGTCTACCAGCGCGTTGTCGCCGCCACCGAATCATCCGGCGGCGCTCTCGTCGACGCAAGCAAACAAAAAACATGCCACAGGACGTGGCGTGTCGCTGGGAAGGCGGCGGCGGCACCACCGACAGACGGACGGCGCGGTCCCGTCGAAGCCATCCTGTGAGACATAGCACGAAATCCGTTAACAGGGTTACACGCGTCGTCGTCGTCACTGCGCGATCCACGAGCGCGACATCGGTCGAGTCGCGGCAGCTAGTACCGCCCGGCATTGTGGGTGGTTGTCGCCATGCCTTTAAAGCAAAAGTCGATGCACATCGGCACGTGGTCGCTGCTGTACTGGCAGTTGGGCAAGCACGTCCGCGCGTACGCTTGGAGGACGTCGGGGGGATGCACCTCGAGTCCTGCGACAGCCACGAGCGCGTCGACGCTGAACCAAATATAGTCGACAACACCGACCCAGCTGCCCGTGTAGTTGGTGTAGGCCGGCTCTGTGCCAAATACTGCCGCGTACGCGCTTTGGAGCGTCATGGGATGGGTGAGCTTGCTCATGTGCACGAACTCGGACAGCGTTTTCAGATCGGGATGGTCGCTTCGGACGTGGTTTTGACTGAGTAAGCTGTACACCGCACTGGACGGCTCGCTGTTGAAGTCGCCGCACACAATGACGGGAACGCGGCGGGAATGCGCCAAGTGCTCGATCTGGTCAAGCAGCGTGTGCGTCTGCCACAATTTGACGTCGGGGAATTCCGGATTCGAGAAAATGTGCACATTCGTGACGCAGATGGACGGCAGCGGCGCCTTCCGTCCGGCTGTCGTCGTGTCATTCAGCGGAGCTACGTCCAGCACCACGATTTGTGCTACGTTGTCGCGGACGAGGCGCTGGCGAACGCGTGAAAGGCTCGCTTGGTACGTCTAACGCCATGGTCAGGACATCGCATGACAACGCACGGGGCCACCTCACGCTCTTGGTTGGACGCGGTCGGGTACGCCAGCTCGAAATTGGACCAGAGCGACGCGACAAAGTCCGTCGCTGCTTCGTTAAACTCGACGGCGTACTGCTCTTTGAGGAAGAACCTATCGAGAGTCGACGTGTGGTCGAGAGAGAACGGGGTGGCGTTGGTGGGCATACCGCGACGTGCGGTAGAATGTGGCACACCCGTCGACCTTGCCCTCCAAGCCCATGCTTTCTCGCGTTTTTTTTTGAAACAGACCGTCGTATCCCCAGGCCGCCATCATCGGCTGAAAATGGTGCTTGTAATGGTCGGCTTGCACTTCCTACCGCGTCAACGCCGCCGCCGTCATGGCGGCTTACATGGACGACGCACGTACTTGCAAGCACAAAATATCGGCATTGTAGAGCTGCAGTTCGCGCTGCAGCAACTGCTTTCGAAAGGACCAATTCAGCGCCCACATCGGGCAGTACGGGTACATTTGCCGCGTTGCGTAAATCTCGGCCAGGACGTTGTACGACAAGATGCGAAAGCCGTTGAGGTAGCGCAGGCGCGCAGTCAACCGGTCGTCTTTGCCAAGCGCTGGCACCATTTGCCGCGCCGGGGCCATCGGTGGAACTATGGATGGCTCGACATGACTCGCCATGGTTCCCAGGCACATGACGTACATGGGAGCACGATATTTGTTTCCATAAACTTGGATGGTCCGCATTCTTGTCCTGTGCGGAAAAGCGGCGTGCATTCGACCCGCAGCACGTGGCCGACATCTGCCGATGACGGCGTGTACGTCCTAGAAAAGAGGACGTTTGCAAGCCATGGCAGAGACGGTGGGCGTACTTGGTGGCTTGAAGGATGCTCCATCGTTCCGAGGCAGGTCGAGCTGGCGCCTCGTGGAGGACCGACTTGTGTTTGTCGAGGTCGTCTGCGCTTCGGATGCGAAGTTTCGATGTGGAGATTTTGTGCAGCTGACGGTGTGTGTTCCATGCACTTCGAAAGCATTCCAGGGTGCAAAACCGAGAAGTGTCGCTCGAGATGCCCTGTCGAAGGCACACGGCACAATCCACGGTCGCCATGAGGAGCACGACGTTGCCTTCGCCATTACCCATCCGGGCGCACTGCTTGTTGGCACAGCACCGCTTGGAAATGGACTTGGACCAGCTGAATTTGAGTTGGAAATCGTCGTCGTCAATGTCGCCGTCGCTGGATCGGTAAAATGCGTGCGTCGTCACCTCGCACCCTTCGACAGGCTGGTCCACGCGAAGGGACACACGGCCTTCCCCGCTCGTCGGCGAGCCTCGCGGAGGGCTCTGGGAATACGCTCTTCGTTCCTTGGCCTGCCTCATTCTCTGTGATCAGCGATGTCTCTCGGACAAGGTCACCGCTCGCCGCCGCCTTGGAACCCACCCAAAGCTGCAAGGATTTCCCACATTTCCAGCGAATAAGATTGCTTTCCTGTCACATTCGATACCAAACCCCGAACCCGTCAGAATGAATTGTGCCATCGCAGCAACATTCCCGCGCCATGGCATGACGGAAGCAGCGTGAACCAGTCGGTTGCTTCTGGAGTCAGCGCGACAGAATGGTTGAGGCAGGCTTGTGACCTGGATGCGAACTGGCAATCGTTTGACTCTGTCACTGGCGGACGCGATCGTTGCGCCGACGCGGCCGCCATCGAAATTCGTCATCTGAGTGCTCTGTACGGCAGCTTCTTGTGTTTTACGCAGCGATGCCGTGGTGAAGTGCCTGCTTGTTGACATGCATGAGATGCAAACGGGTGGCAGAGTGCCGCCGTGTGTTGCACCACGCAACCAGGACGTCGTGGCTCTCGAAGGCGAAAACTCTACTCACCGATTCGTTTGCCGACGAGACTTTGTGCGCGCGTGCATGGAGGTAACGAGTCGAGGGCAGGCGTGATGGCATCACCAGTGCTCGTGTGTGCCCATGGCGAGTTGTCGAGCTCATTGTCGACACGCCTCGTGAGGGTCACTCGCGGGACCGTGATCTTGGCTGGGTTCGATGGCTTGAACACCGCATAACCACAGACACGGCGCGGCGCTCGCGATGATTCGCCGCCGTGGTGTTGCTTGCCATGCTGTGGTCGGCGCGACGGCTGCGCCATCGAGACCGAGCGCCGCCCTCTGACGTGGCGGCGTGACAGGGGGAGTTGGATTTTCAGTGAATTTTAGCCAATGAAGATGGAGGACAGGATTTTTCGAATCCGTGGCGGGTGTCTCACCATTTGATTGGACAAAAAGGATAGGTACCATCTGCTTTTTTGTTTATAACCCAATGAGCGCGATGGCAGACCAAGACGCCGCCGCCGCAGTCGCACCGGCCGCGGCCGGAACATGCAGTCGACCGATGCGCACGTCGTATCAAGCAGAGAACGAATCCGAGGACGAGTCGTCGACCTCGACGATGCAGGCGTGCTACTACTCAAAGTACGGAAAACCATCCGTTGTTCAAATCGGCAGCCTCCCACGAGCCACCCTCGTTGCCCCCGACGACATCCTAGTCCGCGTCCACGCCGCCTCTATCAACCCAGTATGCACCGCTTGCTGTTGTTGTGGCATTGCTAATCCCAACTTGTGTGCAGATTGACTACAAGCGCCGAGAAGGGGCGTATAAACTCATCCTCGAGTCCAAGTGGCCCAACATTGTCGGGTATGACATGGCTGGGGTCGTTGTCCTCTGCGGCACAAACGTCAAGAACTTTCACATCGGCGACGAAGTGTACGCATGCGCTCCACACGACAGAACAGGGACGCTGGCCGAGTACGTCTGCCGTCCATGATGCTGCATTGACGATCTAGTGTAGGTTTGCTGCTGTCCCCGAGCGAGCAGCTGCTCTAAAGCCAAAGAACTTGAGGTTGAAATGACGTCCATGCTCCGTGCTCACGTGACCTTGTGTAGCTTCATCCAGGCCGCCGCCGTACCGATCTCTGCGCTCGTGGCGATGCAAACCCTTCGTCGTCTCAATGTGCAGGAAGGGCAGAAGCTCCTCCTCACTGGCGGGTACATAGTGATTCCCTCGGCAGTGTGTTTCTGGGCCATAACGCTATGTCTGATCTTGTAGCTCTGGTGGCGTCGGCACATTTGCCTTGCAGCTGGCAAAGAACGTATTTAAGGTTGGCCAAGTGCTGGAAATTCCTCGTCGCGGCTCACGTGTCGACCGCATCACAGGCAGGACGAATTGCAACGACTGCCCTGCAGCAAAAGGAGCACATTTTGACACGATTGGGGGCGGACGTCATCGTCGACTACTCGGACAGCCACTTTGAGAAGGAATTGAAAGACTACGACTGCGCCATGGACTGCACGAGCGAGGTAACGACCGAGATATCCCCCTGCATCCGTACCAACGCAAGTGTTTGAGCAAAATGCACCAGGCGAAGAAGTGCGTCGAGTGTGTCAAGAGCGGCGGGATCGTCGCGTCAATCGCAGACACGCCGCCTCCCGTACGTTCTAGACGCGTCGAAGTCGCATGTCAGCGGCATTGTAGGAAGCCATGGGCGACCTACAAGACGAACTGAACGGCCGGCCACCATCGTGCTGCCTTGGCATTGTGCTCGGGTGCCTCAGCTACTCTATGAAGTCAAGAGCTCGCGCACGGTCGGTCCAGTACACATATGTGCTCGTGTCCCCGGACGGCGCGATGCTGGCGGAAATCGCCGCGCATTGTGAAAGCGGTGTGCTTCGACCAGTCATCGACAAAGTGTTTCCGTTCGCGCAGGCGTTGGAAGCGATGGAGTTGCTCGAGAGCGGCCACGTCACGGGCAAAATTGTGATTGAGATGCCGGCCAACGCCAGCGGCCATCACCCCGAATCGGAATAACAACTTTCCTGAAAATTTATATACTGTCTGAAAGGATAGTCGAATGGCATTGTATTCAAGAGGTAAATGCCCGTCAACTGCAACGAAGAAAACTGTATAAAATGATGTTGCTGGGTCGGAAGTCGTTACGTCGGTTTCACCGACCACGAACGGTTTCACACGACGCAGCCCCGGTAGCAACAATGAGCGCGGTCCACCCGGCGTTCCCAAACGACATGAGTGGCAATGGGAGTTTGCCGCCACGGCGATCGAGTGACGGTAGCGGGTCGCAGGTAAAGGTCCGCGAGCGCCGGATGAGCACGGTCCAAGTGGTCAAGATGGGCAAGAGCAGTCGCAACGTGGTCGCAAACATGCCGATGATGCTGCCCGAAGCAGCTGCGATGAGTTCGGACATCACAGAGGAGGTCCGCAGCACGGCGCCCAACATGGGTCGCGACGTGATTGCGATCTCGACGACGGCGACGCCGATGCAAGTCAGCATGAGTCCGCAAGAAGAAATGATGAATCACGCGCACTTGGAAAAAGCGTTGAAAAACAAAGGCGACAACACCATTCGAGGTGCGACGCGTTCGTCCAACGCGATCTCTCTCACCCGCGCGGCGGTAGACTCGGACACGGTCAAACTGGATGTCAAGCAGTGGATCGCGGAGAAGCACTACATCATGCACCCCCACGGCCGCATGCGCCTGCGATGGGATGTGACGTGCATCGTCCTGATCTTTTACAATGCGTTTGTGATTCCGGTACGTCGGCCTTCGCCGCGCCACAACGCGATCACGCGTGCATGTGTGTGTTGGAGCAGTACCAAGTCTCGTTTGAAAAGACGGCCGCCGACAGTGCTTGGAGCGTCATGGTCGACTACAGCATCGACACGTTCTTTGGCATCGACATCGTAAGCCCCGCCTGGTTATTTTCGTCGCGGCGAGCCACTGTGGGGATGCGATGGCAGGTCACCAACTTCTTCACGGGCGCCGACATCAAAGGCAAAGTGTACTTTGACGTGAAAACCATCGCCCAGCGCTACGTGAGCTCGTGGTACGGCCATCGCGTCGTCGGGTGGTCGGCTAAGCAAACCGACAGGTTCGTCGTCGACTTTGTGTCGACGTTTCCGTTTACCCAAGTGCTGGCGGGCGAAGACGAGCAACTCGGCAAAGTCCTTCGGCTCTTCCGGCTCGTGCGCCTGCTTCGGCTCTTCCGCATGATCCGCATCCTGAATCGGCTTCAGCACGCGCTCTTGATCCGGTCGACCATCAGCAGCCTCTTTCGCTACTGCCTCACCGTCGTGTTCATCTCGCACTGGTTTGCGTACGCCGCGCGCGACTTGCGCGCGCGCCATCCTGACTGCGGGTGTAGATGTTTCTTCTTTTGGGTGTCGTACCAGGACTCGATGTCGACCGACCCGGCCGTGAACACGTGGCTCAAGGAAAAGGGCCTTTTCGCGGCGCCCATCGCCGATCAATACGTTACGGCGCTGTACTGGGCGATCACGACGTTGTACGTGCCCAGCCTGGTCGAGGCTACGTGTGATGGGCAACGATAGAGCCACGGTGGGGTACGGCGATGTGTCGGCCATTAGCACAAACGAACGCCTCTTTGCCATCTTTGCCATGTTTGCTGGCGCGGGCATTTTTGCCTACGGCATCACAAACGTAAGACCGATCGTGCGTCTGCGGTCGGTGACGGCGCCAGCCATGGCTAGATCGTTGCGCTCGTGTCGAGCTTGACGGCCCATGAAACCGCGTTTCGAGAAAAGATGGTGCGCAACGTCGACACGGCCGTGGCATGACACACGTTGTAGGACGAGATCAACGAGTACATGGCGGCGCGGGACCTGCCGCGGCAACTGCGCATCGAGATCCGCGACTTTTTCCAGAACGCGCGCAAGTCCAAGGAAAACGACATGCTGCAAGAACAGGATCTCCTCAACGACCTCTCGGCGATGCTCCGGTCCAAGATTGCGCTCGCCATCAACGATCACTTTTTGTGGAAGTTTCCGTTTTTCAAGGGCAGCGACCCCAACTTTATCATGGACCTCGCGCTCAGCATGCGCATGATCTGCTTTGCCCCGTTCGAAGACGTGTGCGTCGAGGGCGAGCTCGGACACGAGATGTTTTTCATCTTTCGTGGCGCGGTCGAAGTCCTCAAGGACGGCGTCCAGGTGACCGTGCTCGGCGAAAACCAATACTTTGGTACGTGGCGCGCCGTCATGGAAACGCCGCGTCTTGACCCCGATATATATATCGTTGCAGGGGAGATGGCGATTCTAAACAACGACTGCAAGCGCATGGCGACGGTGCGGACGCTGTGCTTTTGCGAGCTGCGCATGCTGTCGCGGGTTCGTTTCCTCGAAGGTGGTGGTGGTGTGCGTCGTCGACCGCGTTTTGACGCGACATTGCTAGCGCTCGTCCACTTTCCCAAGATGATGCAAAAGCTCGCCAACTACTCGAAAGCGCGGGCGCAAGCCAAGAACCCTGGGGCGAACCAGTTTGCCCGCCGCGAAAGCAATGACGACGACTCGCGCGCTGCGGGCGGCCGAAAGCTCTCCAAGCTCAAGAATCCGTCGTATCGCCTGAATTGGAAGAGTGCCGTCGACAAGGACCATGAGGTGCTGACGACGCACCCACCGAGCTCTCACGACTACGGACGGTAGGGAACGGGATATGGCGCGTCGAGTGGGATCGGAACCGAGGCGGTGCTGCAGCTCGACCGCATCAAGCGGGTGCAGGACGTGCTGACCCACAAAGTGCGCGACCTGCACGCGATGATGGACGCGATCGAGAAAACCACGACGGACGTCATGGCTGGAAACCATCGCCCGCCCGCCGCGACCACGCCGTCGTCATCCCCAACGAATGTCTAGAGCGCCACGAGTTCCGATTAAGCGTAATATTGCAACGTCGCCTTCTTCTTGGCCGACACGACCCCGATGCCTTCCATAAAGTCCTCATGCTACACATGCACACGGATAGGACGTCATCCTCGTTTCGAGACAAACCTTGATGATTGTTGCTTCACGACGGAGCGCGAGCATGCCGGCCTCGACGCACACCGCCTTGAGCTGGGCCCCGTTAAAGTCGTCCGTGCATCTTGCCAACTCGTCAAAGTTGACGTCTGCAGCACGCACGTGAGCAATGCCATCAAGAAGGACGGGCAGGTGGACTACCTTCCATGTCGACGTTCATTTTGCGCGAGTGGATCTGCATGATGCGGGCTCGGGCTTCTTCGCTCGGGTGCGGCAGCTCAATCTAAACACGTTGTGAGTGGGCGCGGCGACTTGCGACCACGCACCTTTCGATCCAACCGACCAGAGCGCAGCAGCGCAGGGTCCAACACGTCAGGGCGATTTGTCGCTGCAATCACTTTGATCTTGGTGTTGCTCGTGAACCCGTCCAGTTGGTTGAGGAGCTCGAGCATCGTGCGCTGCACTTCTCGGTCTCCCGACTGCTCGCCGCCAAAGCGCTTCGTCCCAATCGCGTCCAACTCGTCGATAAAGATGATGGCCCCGCCTTTGTTTTTGTCCTTGCATTTTTCCTTGGCCAGCTCAAACGCGTCGCGCACGAGCTGGATCATGACATGAGAACTCGCCATGGCCAGTTTTGTTACCTTGGCTCCGTCCCCGATGAACATCTGAACCAACTGCGGCGCCGCCAGCTTGAGAAAAATTGCATCCGTTTGCTTGGCACACGCGCGAGCCAACAACGTCTTGCCGGTCCCTGGAGGGCCATACAGCAGCACTCCCTTGGGTGGCTGGATCCCGATGGCAAGAAATCGCTCCATATGCGTCATAGGCAGCACAACGGCTTCAACCAGCTCCTGAATCTGCTTGTCCAAACCGCCAATGTCACTGTAGTCTTCCGTGGGCTTTTCGTCCACCTCCATCGCCTTCACGCGAGAGTCGTATTCCGCAGGAAGCTTTTCCAAGATGAGGTAACTGTCCTTGTTCGTGCCAACGAGGTCGTTCGGGATCAACGATTCAGCGTCGACAAGACCTGGAATGCTGAGGAAGATGGTCTGTCGGGTCGACGTCTTGATCACAGCACTTTTCCCTTTGCGGCCGACATCTGCATCCGCTGCCGCGCCATCTTGCTCATCATCCTCGTTCTCCATCGCGAGAATCTCGACTACGTTGCCCACAAGGTACGGCAGTTGTTTGTTTAGTTTGACCTTTTCATTGTTCTCCTTGATGCGCTCGCGTTGGGTCTGGCTCTCGTGATTGATGCGCGTGATGTCGCTGCGCATGATACGAATTTCATTATCGAGTAGTCGAATGCGCTGCTTGAGCTCGTCGTTTGTCATGCCGAGGATATCAGGCTCGATTTCACCCCAAATGTCGCCGCCTTCCAGTCCGTTCTCATCGCCGCCTTTGCTCATGGTCAATTGAGGTTCTCGACCCCAGGTGGAATCCACAAGGATCTCCCTCGGTATAAGCCGTACTGCCGCGATAAAAGCACATATAAGTATCCGGATCCGGATACGCTTCTCCCGTTTAGTTCGTTTTTTGCGGAACCTCAAAACCGCGCGAGGTCTTTAGGCTTTGCCTGTACAGTATATAGTGATTCCAAGGCAAAACGGACTCTATTTCCAGTTCAAAGGTTGATATTGAGGTCAACTTTAGCCCAAAGCTAGTTATAAGAAAACCACCTCGGATCCTCATCCATGTACTTACTACCTCCAGCCCGAAGAAACCTGCCACAATGGGAATTTTTGATTTCATTAATTTTTCGAAGTTGAAAAATCTGAAAGCGCTCAATGCTGTGAATTCAATTGGCCCACACTAGTTGAAAAATCTGAAAGTGCTGTGAATTCAATTGGCCCACACTATGTTGTTGTGAAAAA